GAAATTAATTACTAAAAATAATTATTTAAAACCTAAATTATAAAGAGCGATTTAGGTAATACTTATTTTTATTTTATATAAAATAAAATTAAAACGCTTTTTTTAATATATATATACTTAATTAATAAAAAGTAATTAATAAAACGACCTAGGGGTATTAAACGCTTTATTATTACGTTTATACTATAATTAATAAAATAAAATATATTTTACTAACTATATTTTTTAATAATAAGATATATATAAATAACTTTATTTCCCTTCTTAAAATATAAAAAAACGTCTTTAAAATACCTAAGCCTTTTAAAACTTATTTTATTAAAGCTACTTATATAAAAATTAAAAAACTAAAAAAAATAAATATTTAAAAAATTATTAACTAAGTAACGGTTTAAAAAAAGCTAATACTATTTAAATAAGTATTTAATTATAAATTTAATAAGGACTATTACCTTAATTATTATAAAATAAGAATATATGTTAAAAGCGACCTTTAAAAATAATACCCCTTAAAAAAAACGTATATAATTACTTTCGTTATTAAGATTTTTAAAATAATAATAGCTATTACTACTTAATTTAACTTAAAAGTTTATTAATATAATATTATAAATACGTTTTTAAATATAATACGGAAACTAAGTAACCCTCTTATTATATATAAGCTCTTAAATAGTTTTAAGTAGCTAAGTAAATATATTAAATTTAAACGAGCCTTTTATAATACTTATAACGCTCCTCTATTTTAATATAAAAAACTCTTAATAATTTTAAGATCCCTCGGGCTTATACTTATAAATAAAAACCTATATTTATTTTAAATTTAAAATAAAAAAGTCTTAGTTCTCTTTTATATAAATAATATCTTTATATTATTTTCTAAAAATTATATTTATAAAGCTAGTTAAGTAACTAAGGAGTTTAAAAAAAAATATAAGTTAAAAAACTAAGGATTAGTTTTATAATATTTAAATATTAAAATTATTTAAAATTGACTAAACTAAAAGATCTATTTTATTTATAATTAGTATATTAAAAGAGTTATTAAAAAGTTTAATCTCGTTAATATAAAAATATTAATAACGTTATTACTAACTATACTAATTAAAAAAAACTTAAAAATCGTATTACTAACTAAAACTAAGTCGTTTTAAAAAAAAATAAAGTTAATTTTATATATAATAATAATAATACGACCCGATATTACTTTTATATATACTTTATTATCTTAGTTTTTTATAAACCCGTTTTATTAATATTATTTTACTATAAATTAAGTTATATAATACTTTTTTTATATTTATTACCTCGCTATATATTTTAATATTTTAAGGAGTAAATAAGTATTAATAATTATAAATAATACTTCGTTTATAAATAATAAAGAGACCTAAAAATCCTTTTAAAAATATATAATCTCTCTTTTTAATAAACTTGTTTAATAAAAAGCCGTAAAATAAAATATAATAATAATTTTAATAACTAAAGCCGAACTACTTAGTTTAAAATATATTATTAAAAAAATACTTATTTTAAAATACCTTTTTAATAATATATTACTTAAACTTAGGAACGTTTAAAAAATTTATTATAATAATTATTAAATAATAAAGTTTATAATAAAAAAAAGGGAATATATTTTAACTCGCTTTTATTACGTTAATATTTAAAATATATAATTATATTAAAAATACTTAAAAAGCTTATTTAAAATAGTTTATATATTAATAAATAAAATACTAATTAACGGTTTTATAAAAAACTTTTTATAAATAAAGTTTAAATATTTTATATTATTTTTAAATATAAGGGATATATAAAGAATAATTATATAAAATAAAAGAATATTAAAAAGGTAATAGAACGCCCCGGGGGGCCTAGGTTTTTAATTTATAAACGTAGTTTATAATTAAAGAATATAAAATTATTTTAGTAACCCTATTAAGTTATTATAAAAAGATTACTTATTTAAGAAAATAAGTATATATTTATTTAAAAAGGACTTTAATATAAATACTATATCCGTAAGGATATAAATATTAACGAGGGTATTAATTTTAATTTAAATATTATTAATTTTTATATATAAAATAGCTAATACTTTTTCTTTTTTAATAAGCTTTTTTAACTAGGCCTTAAGTATAAAAAGAGCGCTTATAAATACTTTTTTTATTAAAACCTCGTTTATATAAGCTATTTTATCCTTAACTTTATTTAATAACCTATTAGTTATTAAGGCTTTACGTAACGTTATTATTATATAAATTAAGTTTTAAAAATAATTAATAATTAATTTAGAATAACGAGTATATATAAAAACTAACTTTTTATAAAGTTTTTATTAAATTCTCTTTTTTTATTTATTTAAAATATAAGAACTTTTTATTTAGTTTATATATATACCCCTAAAAAAGAGCGTAGTTAGACTTCTTATTAACTTAATAATATATATATTTATTATTAATACTTAAACTTAAGAAATACTACTTTTCCGTTCGTTTATTAAGAGTATTTTTAATATAATTTAAATATTTAATACTAAATAATAATAATACCCGCTTAAAAAGTCTTTTAATACTAAAAGTATTAAAGGGGTATATTATTAAAAATTAAAATTATAAACGACGATATTAAAAAAAAAATATTATATTTATAAAGAACTGCTTTATATTTATTAAGAGGGAGCGAGGGAAGGGGTTCTAAACTATTTTTATTTTTACTTACTTTTTAAATAATCTTTTTTTTAATTAAAAAATTATTATTTATAAATAAAAATATTAATAAATTTAAAAATAAAATTATAATATAATACTATTACTTAACTAATTAGAGTTTAATATAAAAAAAGTATTACTTATTTATAAATAAATTATTATTATAAATAAGAGAGCCGCCGCTCTTTTTTAAAATCGTTTTAAAATACTTAGCCTCGCGTACTATAATAATATAAGCGCACTTTTTAACCCTAATACGTTTAAATATTTATTTTAAATAATATTATTAACTATAATTCTTATTTTTATTAATAAATACGTATATAAACGCGGGCACAAAAGTAAAAAATAAAAATATATATATATAATTAATATATAAATATAAATTAAAAAAAAAATTTAAAATAATAAGCGGTTATAAAGAATTTATTTATTTACTTATTTTAAACCGTAAGTTAATTATTTAATTAATAAGAGGCTACCCCTTAGTCCTATTTATTATTAATAAAAAAGCTTTAAAATTACTTATAATAATAAATATAGTTAATAAACTACTACCTATTTATTTTATACTTATAACTTAGTATATAATACGATTTATTTTATAATTCTTTTTATAAATAGATTTTTATATAATATTATTTAGATTTATATATTTAATAATATTTTTTATAATAATATAAATAATTTAGTACGCTTTTTTTAAATAAGGATTTGTTTAGGGGGGTATATTATAATAATTTTAACTATTTATAGCTTTATTATATATTATATAACTTTAATTATATAATTATTTAAGGTTTATACTCGCTTATACTCTTTATTTTAGAGCGAACCTTGTACCCATTTCCTACTTTCAATAAATAACTATTCTCTATATTTAATATCGATGCCCCTATTTATAACTATACGACATATTTATAGACTAAAACGGTTACCAGCCTCTAGAAATTAGAAGATGAGGAGGCGAGTAAGGCAAGCGTGGTGATGCCGACCCAAAACTAGACGTAAAAAAGTACGATAGACTCGATGAATTTACAGATACAATAGTGACACACGCTTCCCTGTCCTAGTAAAAGGCTCGTTATCTCAACGTCCTGAAACCTTTGCACCGGTTGACCTCGTAAGCTACCTTATGTATGCCCCGGATTCAGCACCTAAGACATATTTCCACAGTGTTTCGCGTCGCAAGCTTTCTAATCAGATACAGTAGTGCTGTAATCGTACGTGGTGTAGCATTACTATTCCCTTTGCTAATGACCATGAGTGCATTCCCGATCTCTGAAGCAGGGCAGAGTGCTGGCCACTCTCAACTTAAATTTCTGTTTCAAGCCGTGCATCAGTCAAGCTGACTATGCTGTGGTTAATTTGCTTCGCTTCAATACGCGTCTGTACTTTGATCATTGTAACAATTGGCTCTCCCGGTGGGGACGAGATTGGCATGCCAAATGATCAAGATCTCCTGCTGATGTGATCGCCATCAGGGATGAAGCCTGCATTCTTCAGCAACATGGTTCACGCTGTCTCGACGCCACGCGGAAATGCTTTCCATTTCACCTCCACTGCTTATATGCCAGTCTTCTGCGAGTCTCGCGTTTAATAGACTCTTGGTGAAGGCAAATACGACCAGAACCAGTACCAAGATTGGCATGTACGCTGCGTGTCGCACATATCAGCCGACTTCAGGGATGTGTCCGGGGAAGCCGATAGTTACGAGGGGAAGTTCTCCTTGCCAGAAGCTTGGCTGATTAGGTAGTCTCAAAGTTTTAGGAAAGTAATAACGACAACACCAACAACAAATGCTCCTAGCTTCCCTTATCAGGCTTAGTACGAGCTAACCCCAGCGTATCATGAGTGACGCCGGGTTTGAAGTACGACGAAGCTGAGAGCCCTCGGAAAACATACCAGATAGTCCTCGGCAAATGTTCCAGACCAAGATTGAGACCCGCGCCCTTGATATTGGGCTAAGTCGCGAATGGATGCGCAAAGCAACCACAGTTTTGCTGCTGCGTACCCCGTGATGAACTGATTAGCAGCGTTGCAAAAGTCTACGTGACTCAAAGTCACTTCGATTTCCCTCTTCATCTTGACTCAAGTATTTAAGTGGCATTCCCTTTGGTCCTCCTGATTTGTATCAACTCGGTTCCGGAACAAGACTTTACTGCAATAACGCAGGGCATTGACCTTCGTAAACCACCTACTTCGTTCCTACAGGAGGCTGTATGCTGCTTCAGTCCTGGGATTTCGTTTAAATAACTCTATTCAACTGACATCTGCAAGCCCGCGATGTCTAATTCTTTATCTTACGACACCGAGAAGATGAAGTCCCCAGCCATCACCGACACAGATGTCGAGCTCCGTCCTATGGAGTCTATCAGCGGAGGTGTGCTAGGTCCCGAGGAACAACAACAACACGGCTCGACCCAACGTGGCCTCAAGTCTCGACATGCACAAATGATCGCCTTGGGAGGCACAATCGGAACCGGTCTCTTCGTTGGCGTCGGCCAGGGCCTGAACATGGGCGGGCCCCTATTCCTCCTCATCTCCTACATCAGCATCACTCTCCTTCTCTACGGAGTGGCAACAGCCACCGGCGAAATGAGTGCCTATCTTCCAGTTCCCGGCTCCTCAGTTGCCTACTACGGCCAACGATTCTTCTCGCGCAGTCTTGGATTTACGTTGGGTTGGGTATACTGGTATATCTTCTCCATCACGGTTCCGGCCGAGATCACTGCGACCTACATTGTTCTCAACTACTGGTCGCCACCTTTACACATTGCGTTCTGGCTGACGCTCATCGGCGCCGTCATGATTGCCCTTAATTGCTTCCCCGTGAAAGTCTATGGGGAAGCCGAGTTCTGGTTCGCCAGCATGAAAGTCTTTGGTATTATTGGGCTGCTCATCCTCTCCGTTGTACTCTTCTTCGGCGGCGGGCCCTCGCACCAACCCCTTTGGTTTTCGAACTGGTCTGATCCAGGGCCGATCAAAGAATACATCGTGACGGGAGACTCTGGGCGTCTGGTGGCATTTGTCTCGACCATCACCTTCTCCGTGTTTGCGTTTGCGTTTGCGCCGGAACTTCTTGTCGTCACCGGCGGAGAGATGGAAAGCCCTCGCCGCAATATTCCTACCGCGACCCGTCGGTACTTCTATCGCCTCATCACATTCTACATTCTTGGTGCTCTGGCTGTGGGAATCATTGTCAGCAGCAACAACCCCAACCTCCTCAGTGGTGGCAAAGGTGTCGGCGCTTCTCCTTGGGCTATCGGCATCAGGGAGGCAGGTATCAAGGGCCTCGACAGCGTGGTGAACGTCGTAATCGTTCTGAGTGCTTGGTCTGCAGGCAACTCCTATCTGGTATGTGTTCCACTTCCTGTTGCCACTTAGATTAGTTTCTTGAATATCCTCTAATCCTTTCGAAACTGAATAGTACCTTGTTAGCCGCGCGCTTTACTCGATGGCCCTCGCAGGCAACGCGCCAAAGATTTTCACCCGCTGTACGAAGTCGGGTGTCCCATACTACGCCACAGCAGCCAGTGCCTCGTTATCATTCTTGGCGTATCTCAATGTTGCTTCAACTGGTGCAACTGTATTCAACTGGTTCGTCAATCTGATCAATACCGGTGCTTATCAAAGTTGGATCTGTTGCTGCATAATCTACTTTAGATATCGCAAGGCGTCAGATGCGCAGGGCATCACAGATATTCCCTTTCGTTCCCGCTTTCAACCCTACTCAAGTATTCTCAGCTTGTTTGGCTTCGGTTTACTGCTTTTCGTCAACGGCTTCAAGGTATTTCTCGCGGGGCAGTGGAACACCTCATCCTTCTTTACGTCGTACATCGGGGTGATCATTTTCTTGTTGCTTTTCTTCGGGCACAAGTTCACTGTGGGAAGACAAGATCCCTGGGTACTGAATCCTATGGATGTTGACCTGAAGTCTGGCTTGGACGAGATTTTCGCTGCAGAGCAGCCTGCGCCGGTTAGGACCAAGTGGTATCAAAAGTGGAGGGTTTTGTTCGAGTAAACCTACATGTAACAACGGGTATCATGTCCTTCGATCTATCGCATGATTAACTACTTCAGTCGTCAATTGAGAAACTGGGAATCGAAGTCTCTTCGTACACTTTTCCCCCTGTACCCAATGAAAGCCTTCCGTCGAAGGTGACATTACAACTGCTGATGTTATTGAACTTCTCGTACAGAATATCTACTCGACTTCTCGATTACCTGTCATCGAAGGCGAGCAGTCTGGTATCAAGTAAATGCAAGTGGTTCTCGAAACAATGGCAGTCTTTGTCTGTTTAGTATGGTACACAATGGAAATTATGATGGTTATTCTATCGACATCCATCCAAGCAACGATTGTTTTCATCACATAAATAAAGTGACTCTAATGCCAAACAGAATAAACTCTCTTTCACATCGGATACACGACAAATAATTGCCATACACAATATTCAGGAGAATGATTCACCATTTCCAGGTCAAGAAACACCTGTCGAGGTATAGGTGACAAAATTGCCGTCTAGAGTGGTCGGGTTGAGATGCACACAGTTCCATTGGCCGCCTCGGCATTATCTCTGGCCATTGGCGTTGCTGTACTTGCTACAGGCGCCCTTGACTTGGGATGGGCAGTACTTATATGTTGTCCAACTTACCTTCCGTCAGCACATTCGCTCGTGGGGCAAAGAAGAGCACCCGCACCAGGTCATTCACTCTGACGCCTGAAACTTGCAGCACGACTTTACCACTCAAAGACCGGAGGAGATGCCCGCCGACGCTCCAGCATGGACTCCGTGACATTGCCACGGAGATTCATGTACTCGGCCAGGGGGTCTCGACCAACATCCGCGTCCGGGTTCTGATGGTTGAGGGAAGGTGGCCTCTCGTAGCCACTGTCATGAAGAAGAACCACAGCCGCCTTGACGGTTGTGAGCAAGCGGGTGCTTACCATGACTGAAGTTTTGTTGGTCAGGGAATCTTCCAGGCCTTTGGAAGTAAGAAATTGGGGAAAGAAAGTGATGAATGCTCAGAAGTGAGTCGTGGAAGGCGGGTGGCGACCTTCGCTTTTATAAGGAGATACAACATAGCGATGCCTATATGCTCGATACAAAATGACATCTTCTTTGTCCATCTAGTCCAGCCGTATCACCTTACAGTCTCGACTTGCATCGTCGTGTCTCCAGTTACACTCAGGCGAGGGCTTGCCTGTCGCTGCTAGGTTTGCAGAATGTCTCCGCTCATCGAGAGCCGCATCAGGTGTCGCGGCGCGAATTTAGAGCGGCCTTTTCGAAAGATGAGCTGAGGTTCATTTGTCTTCAACACGAGGTACAGACACTGCTCACAGAACTTTGATTCCAATCGGACTTGACTGTGGAGTTTGTCTCTACGCCCCTTAAAGCTAGGGACCGGGGTCGATACTATCCACACCTTCGAGGGGGCCGTCAGAGCCGTCTCCTTTTGTCTTCGGGCGACCCGAGCGAGCTCCGTCTTCGACGTGAGCAATCAGCACAGGTTGACCTGGACCCCATCCTCGGGCCAGAGCTTTGTGATGGATCGCGTTGAAAGTTCGCCGGGGCATACCGTACTTCTCGCGAATTTCCTTGGTTGTCTTTCCGCCCCAGTCCCACAGAGTCAGAACACCGACACGAATACCATAATCCCATTGTTTGTCCTTGGTTGATGGCATCGTCAGAGCTGTTGCCGACGGTAGCTGGTGGTGGCAAGTATTTATACCCAAGCTAGGACCAAGGAGAGAAAGAAAATCTGGAGTGAGAGATTGTGTCAGAGTTTCTGATTGGCAGGTTTCCACTAGCCAATGTACGGTCCTCGGACAGTGTCGCTCCCGGTTGTCTACAAGACAGGCTAACGGTAGCAAGGCCCTTGGAGTGGGTGCAAAGTTTAGGCCACGGCCGACTCCGGGCCCGCCTATTCAAAGAGGGCCCCGCCCAAACAGGGTTGCAGCCGTATTGGAAAGAATACTCCCAACCTTGGGGATCGAAAGCGCAGCACAGCATCTATGATGGTCTATCCGAGAGACCGATGAATCCGCGACTTTGCTATCGAAAGATTTGGTTCTCTTAGGATCAAATGACTACATGCAATCGTAGACTCACAAAGTTTAGCAGAGAGCTCTGCCAGAAGTTAAAGCTGCACAGCCAATACCAATTCATAGCTCTTGTGAAACTGCAGTGATGAAGATGACTTTCCAACCTCTTTGAAATGCCAATCCCTTCACAATGGCTTTTTCTAAGACTACCTTATAGCCAATGATTGCGTGATGATTGAAAACGGAGTCATCCAGAGGACCCCGCTTAGACCTGGTTACCCGCAGTGCTTTTTAAGCCTCACTTAAGCTCCCCTCATTCAAATCCTTCTTGGTCTCTGGACCAAGGTCTCGGGTGTGGATAGAGCGAAGAAGCCTGTCGCAGAACCAAGTCTTTGTCGCTTCAAGGCCAAGGGATCCCAAAATCAGGCTTAGTATAGGATCCGCCACCCGTGCTATGATCTGTACCTGGAGACGAAAACGAGAATGGAGGCTGGGGCCTCCGGCGAGCAACGACGACGCAAGACAAACCTGACGACTAATTTGACGTGTAACACCCAGCTTGGGCCTTGATAACATGCATGAGTGGGGTCTTCTAGCTTTTTTAAGACACACGCTCGTCGACTGTATAAGAAAGTATTGTTACGAAACAATCTGGTTATTACTATCATGGAAAGTATTCTCACAACGCCAGCCCCCTGATGCACCTACAATCAACTACGGCTATCTGTCCTGCACGCTAAAACTCTGCAATGAGTTTGAAATTCAGCACAAGAGGCCGATTCCAAGCTTCCTGGGCCCTCATTCTTGATGCGAGATGACACTAAGTATGAGGCGTCCCGCGGTCTCTTACCAACATAATGAGGCTCGTTGAACGTTACATGTGGATTTGCCGTCAGGGTCTAATTTATGTTTCTATCAAATTGAGTAGAGATCAAATCATGTTCGTACGTGGTGATAATCACTTTACTCAAATTTCCCAAGAAACCCTTGCAGCAATCGAATAGTTCCCTCACCATCCTCATGCATGACCCAGTGTCCTGTTTCGAGCACCTCAAAATAATACCCGGCCTTTGCCCACGGCCTCGTCATCTGATCCTGCAATGAGGCTACCGTCATTTCGTCTCGTCCACAGCCAATAAGTAACACAGGGACTTCAATCTCCTTTTTCATGTCCTTCTCATCTTCAAAAGACAGGTTATTACGGAGCGCCTTGTACCAGTTTGTCGGGCCTGTCCATCCGCCTTTCTTGAACGAATCAACCTTTGTCAAGAAGTATTCGTTTTTCTGAACTTCACCGTCGGCAAAAGAATGGGTTGGCGCAATTCTTGCAGAGAAGACCCAGTCTCTAGCCTTCCCGGGCGGCCCGAGATTTGCAGCCATGACTTCAGGTGAAGCATGCATGAGTGATATCATAGACTCGGCATTTCGATTCATCAGGGCCACCCCTTCGTCATCCGTAAAGAGGTTCCAGTACCGAAATCTCTCTTCGCCGGTCATCTCTTTTGTCATTCGGTTGATCATCTCGACATCGAACTTCTCCCCGGGTACAGAGTATCCGACGTCTAAGAATACCAAACCCTTGAACCGGGAAGGATGAAAGTGGTACAGTCTGCTGAGGAACCATGAACCCAGATCGTGGCCTACGCCTATCACAGAGTCGAGGTTCTCCGCGTCCAGTATGGTTTTGACGTGATTACTCATCTTGCGCCATGTGTATTCTTCCAGGTCATGGGGCTTGGACGTTCCGCCGTAGCCAAGAAGATCCGGCGCGAGGACACCGTAACCCTGAGAGGCGAAGTGCTCTAGTTGTTGGTGGAAGTCGATCGCAGTGGAGGGAAACCCGTGCAAGAAGAGGAGATTTGGTAAGGTGGAATTCGAAGCTTTAGTAAAGTAGTATTCGTATGTTATGGACGACGATATTTGAAGACGTCTAGAGGTAACAACCGTCATTTTGAGATCTGGAAGTATTCTGGACGATAAAAGTGCAAAGTTTTGCGCGAAGTTGTCCTTGAACAATTAAGGTATAAAGCTTTATTACGAGAAATTAAAGATATGTTGCGGTCTATGTTGGAAAAGCAGAAAGTGTCATGTGGAAGACAAAGAAACTGGTCGGCTTCTTTATAATTGTGGCCGAGTCCGAAAGTCGACGAAATGTGTCCGGCGTCGCGCTTTGACTAACACGATCTAAAATGTCGATCTCCCGCCATCGTGAGCATCCCGCCGGTTAGATCCCTTGCATGTCTTAGAACCACAGTAAGAATCTGACGTCACTTAATTGACGATTCCATTGGTCGAGAGAGGACTATAGGTATCCATTGCAACTTGGACAAGTGTCTTAGGGCACTACTATTGATCAGAGCCGAAGTGAAACGGACAGAATTCACCTCAAATTTTCAGCCTGGTTTGTGTGGCCAATGGCTTTGCGCGGATCATCAACGGGTTCTTGATCCAAAGCGCAAAGGCCTTTTGGTTCTTCCAGTCCCGGCTTTCCTCACACAGCTCGAGGTCGAAGGAGAAGAGCAGGGTAGCCAAAATGAGTCTCATCTCATGCATCGCCATGTTTTGACCCAGGCAGTTACGCGGTCCAAAACCGAACGGTTGGTGGGCCTCCAGCGCATCTCCGGCGTAGGTGGGGTCCGTCTTGAGCCATCTCTCTGGCGTAAAAGTGTCGGCGTTCTTGAAGTTGGACTCGGATCTGTACGTTGACCAGTGGTGTACAGACACGCGTGTGTCGGCAGGCACCCATTTACCAAGAATCTGTTGTCCACCTGGGAGCACCACTCTGGGACTTCCGATGGGCACTGGGGGATAGACGCGCAGCGCCTCCTTCAGGCAGGCATTCATGTACTTCAGCTCCTGCAGGCGTTCGAATGTGAGTTCATCCAGTTTTGTGAAGTTGCCTCGAATTTCTTCGAGAAGAGTCTCCATTTTCTCGGGGTAGGTGAGCAGATTGTAGAGGCAACCGCTAAGAAGTGTAGCTAGTACACTCGGTCAGCTTTACCTCAAGTCCAAAGGTCAACACATTTGCTTACCTGTCGTTTCCGATCCAGCAAGCATGAAAATCTCAGAGTTCGAATGCATCTCCTCGAGAGAAAGACCTTTACCCTCTTTGGCCGCCAAAACCAGGTTCCAGACATCAGGCTGGTCGGAGCCATCTTGCAGCCGCTGGTTGACACGATCCTCTGAGTGCTTGCAGTGAGTGACACGCTGCTCCACGACAGACTTTGGCTCGAAGCGGTTGAATATGGTAGTCAGGATGGGGTAGTAGTTGATGATAGAGACGATGGGCAACATCTTAAGCGACTCAAAGATTGACCTGACCCAGGGGCTGTATTCGTTCTTTGCCAGCAGGCCAAGGGGCTGGCCAAAGCAAAGTTCGGCCATGACGTCGAATGTTGCAAAGTTGAGCAATTGGGTCATTTCCACTGCCTTTTTTCCTTCCTCGCCAACCTCGCTGATCTTATACATGAGAAGGTCTACGTACTTCCGAAACAGCGGCTCTTGTTGTCTCAGCGCGCGTTCCGAGAAAGCAGGCGAGAAGAGGCGACGGACTCGAGCATGGTCTTCGGTGTTCGCCGTAAGCATACTTGGGACGCCTGCAACCCATCAGTCTCTGGCACTAGTCTATGTGCTAAAGTTGAAGCTGGGAACTGAAGCTGTCAGGGTATCGCATACCATTCACAGGCTGAACTGAGAACTCTTGGGCTTTTTCAGTCACCTTGGGCCCATGGATATCATTCCAGGCCTCTCCGGCCGTGTAACTCAGGTCCGTTGGGCCGAAACGAACGACAGGGCCATAAGCTTCATGTAGGCTCTTCATCCATTCTATATCTTCACCTTTTAACGCGACACGCCAGTATGGAATACGAGTAATGGCGCAGATCTTGGGGCCGGGCACATCGGCTAGCGGATGGAGAGTGACGTTGTAGATGGCGCTGCCGATGAGATAGAGGGTTAACAGCGCCACGAAGGCAAGAAAAGTGCCCAACATTATGACAAAGTAAGATCGATGACTCGCCGTCTACACAAGTTGTCTGTACAAACAGAGAGTGAAGAGTGTGAATATGAGAGAAGGGGAGCTCCCAAACATCAACAGTGGAAATTCGCACGTCTTCGGAAAATGGATGAAATATCTCGAGCTTCTGAGTGGTCAGTTGATAAGACCCCTGGATCTTCCAACCCCAGTGCAACATTCTTCAGCAGGAAGCTCCGCATGGAGTGACTTGTTGGTGCAATTGCTAAACTAGACCAATTGGCGGCTTTTTCAGACCAGGGTTATTATCCGTGATGTGGACAAGCCCGCCGCATTGGTAAAGAATCAGGTGTCAAACAGATTGGGTAGCCTGGCTAGGTATGGGCATCCTGGATCCTTTGCCAATAGCAATTTTGTGTATTGCGTTAACGGCTGCACAGATGGGTACCTGTGACTGGTTAAGCATTGCTAGACCGTCCCCGTAGGAAGCGCATGTGTGATTATCGGGTTAGCATGGCGCGGCATGTATCCTCAGCATCACTAGAGTTATGCAGATTATTAGTCCCAAAAGATCGAGCTTCATAATTACTCAACGACCCAATGTGACAATGAAGCTCTATGAGAAGACAACCCGGATGAAGTTGGCATGGCACCAGCCTCTAGGGTTTCGCCATTATCCTACAGCACAAAAGCACCATTCAGATTTTGGCCGAAGTCGCATCGCGGTCGAGTCAGTGGCTTGTACGTGGTGCTGGGTGGTATTTCTTAGACAGGGTCCTGAACGTTTTACGAAAACTGCAGCCTATGGCAAAGCTAGATTCATTTATTCCAACGTGCCGTCCTGGTGATCATCGTTATTTGACTGGCTGGATAACGTCGGACGGTGGAGTTCGCTACCGCTCCCCTGCCTCCGGGTCCCCTCCCCCGGGTCCTATCAAAACGCCAACGAACCCCCGGTTCTAGGCCCGGGACGAAAAGAGATTACTCCAACCCGCGGCACAAGCGTCCGCAGCGGCCACCACGTCGAAACCGGTAACGAGACGGTTGATCGCGGGCAGGGGCGATCTCGTACTGCACCACGAAAACTGGTTGGGTTGCATCAATCCTCTTAACGACTGAACTCAGCTACTGCAGCTAGAGCTGTTAGCGAAACCTACGTGCCTTGACCGAAGAGGAGGCATCGATGAGCCGATGGTCTCGCGTATGTGCTGCCCTGCCATGAAAAAGCCATGGCAGAAAGGGGGTTCGTAGCCATGGGTGTCGCGAGGGCCTCGGACGAAAACTGACAGTTCGCCCCACGAGGCAGGGCTCATCTCGACCAAAGTGTGGCTTTCGCTGACTCGTCGAAACCCAAGGCCCAGGTCGACATGTTGAAAATGGATATTTTGCCTTGGTCTTTACATATTAAAGTCTCAACGGGCTCTTATTGACGTTCCGTTTGTGGGGTTGGCTACGAAAATCTGCCTCTTCTGGGACGTTCAAGGAGCCAAATCCTCCACATAACCATGGGAAGAAGACATGGGAATGAGACCAGACGTTGACCAGGGGTGCACGTTACGTCGGAGCTCCCCCACAGCATCCAGCTGTCAGTCAAATCCAGGAACCGCGGTCTGTAGTAAAATGCCTCCCTTCCCATGTGGCAGGCAGCATGTTTCCGGCATCCCACTTCGCTTTCGAATTCCTCCGATGTCTCCAGTCTAGAGTCTAGATCAAAGTTCGTCTCGAGACTCGCTTCCTTCCCCTCTTTGGCATCTCGGGTCCGCGACGAAGAAGAGGCATAGTACGACCTCACCCTGATACAAAGGCCATAGGCTTGACGGACCTACGCCTACGATGGCGGCTTCTATGACGGGGGAGCAGATCCAGGCTTTTGCCTACCAGCTGGAGCCCCTTGCTCCCAAGGGCCTGGCTCCTGCCGTCGAGTTCGTCGCCATCATCTTGGGCATCATCAGTGTCATTGTCGTGTCGCTTCGGATTTACGTTCGTGCTGGCTTATCAGGGGCTTCATCACGACTCTGGGGCATCGAAGATTATTTAGCGGTGATAGGAACTGTAAGTTTCTTCAGCACAAGCACTCGCCTTGCGCTTTTCGGCCATTATTACAGAGTCTATTTCTCGTAGTAATTCTTGACTGTTGCTAACTAACAGCGCAACAGCTTCCATTTATACCTGCAGTCGTTTTCGCAGTTCTCGCATCACGCTATGGCGTGGGATTCCACGATGCCGACCTCCCATCACAACTATACCTGATTCGCGCCTCCGAATACCAGACTTACTGGGAAGTACTATACTTCATCTCGTCAACTATCATCAAGTGCGCCATTGGGTTCACCTGTATTCGCCTGGATCGACGGAAGCGAGTGGTCATCTGCATGGTGCTCAACATGTCTGTAATGGTGGTTGTAGCCATTCTAGCTTTGATATTTGTCTTTGCAAATTGCACCCCGCTTGCAGCAACATGGAACCCGGCACTGTAAGTCTCCCTATAAGATATTGTTGATGTGGTAATTATGCATCAATCTGTTATTGAATCAGCTTGCCCTTTTCCTTTCATTTACTAACCTCGACCGACAGGGGATCATGCCAAAAGAAGATCAGCTTACAGACTGTCAGCTACATCGTTTCTGCGATTCAGATGTTGACGGACTGGACTTGTGCCATTGTCCCATTCTTCATCGTGGCCGGCCTTCAGATGTCTCGCCGTAAGAAGGTTTCAGTCATAGCCATTCTCGGCCTCGGAATCTTCGCCAGTATCGCTACCTGCATCCGCATGCCCTACCTCAAATATTATGACACTGCAAAATACCCCACTGAGATCGCCTGTGAGTCGTCTTCTCAAAGTAAACTCTCTCTCCTTAGAATGTCAGCTTACACGGCACGCCTACTCCATAGATCACCTTGGAGTCATCAGCATTACTTCCAACCTCGAGTGCAGCTTGGGAATCATTGGGTCATCTCTTCCTCCTCTACGAAAACTGTTCAAATTTTACTATGGCTCCTCACATGACGGAAACTACAAAATCACTGGCGAGGTAAGCGACGAGTTAGCTCTAGGTTGTGTTGCAGTTGGGGGACTAACCCGAGATTTCTTGCAGAGCGGAGACGCCCTTGGAAGTGCTGGCCCAGGTATCAAGCTTGGCTCGCTCAGCGGCAACGACAGAACATATCATGCATCAGCCAAACGGGGTACCTCGCGTGCGGGTACCAGGGAGCACGAGACCGACGACGACGACTCTTCAAGTCGGAAAGGGATCATACGAAAAACCGATATCCATGTCAGCACATCGACATTCCATGTATAGCGTAACGAAGCGTCATCCATTCGCACATATAGACATCTGCGCATAAAGTGATACAAATGTAATCATAAGCATAAATAAAATAAAAATGAGTCTCTGAGATTCGAGCCCCTGAGCATTTGAACACATCGCCAAGTCTCTGCCTCTACCAACCTGTGATGATTATCGCAGAGACTAGTCCCGTAAAGGCTGGCATAAATGTAGGACAATGCACCTCCGAGTGCTCATGGCAACATAACGTGTGACGCGCCATAAATTGTGACCATAATGGAGGAGGAGCAGGCGGCAGTAACATTTGATGAGGCAGAGTAGCATGGCAATGAAAATTCCGAAGGGGATGATCGGGAATAAAACATTCGTTGCCGCTCCTGAGCCTTCTGCGCAAAAGGGCAAGGAGAGGTCCTCGATGGTACGGGGTGACTTAGCCAGCCATGGATCCGGGAAATGTTGATGACGTCGTCCGCAAACCCGGGGGCATTCCCAAGTTCTATAGATGAAGCTGAAAGCTAGAAGAGAAGCCAATTGCAGTGCACACAGCAATCATTCCAAAAACAAGGGGTCAAAGGCAAGGTGCTCAACGAGGATACAGGAAACGGTCGCCGTACCCACATCCAAAAGAGCTCGATTCTCGTCACAAGCATAAACACGATAGGACAGCTCGTGACAAGAAGTACGTGAGTATCTCACAAGCGGGTATAAATAATGATTCCTGGGTACTCGGTCTACATGCCCAGAACCAGTCTGCAGGATACATGTAGAAAGCAATACGCAATCACAACGGCCAGGAGCCATCTAGGAAACTAAATCTTAGGGATAAATTTCATCCTATTCATTATCAGAGTGCGATTGCTCACTTGAACAAGCGCACATCAGTAACTAATCCATCCTCAAACACATCATCGTGCACTCTCAAGCTGTTTACCGTCAAAACGTGGGAGTTGAGAAATCTACGCTGAGAGGAGTCACTGACTTGCGTTATCAACCCGAGGACTCAATAAGAGTCAACACCGCAGTGATGGTCATGGAGCATTGGACCACTACAAATAGCTTGTGATTCTCAGAGAATGGCTTTACAGCAATCACTTCAGAAGCTTACATGTCGTTGCTCTGAGATTCTGCAACCTCCATCACTAGAGACCATTAGACCCCGTCATTATGTAATCAGCACCATAACCCCAGAGGCGCAGGGGTAGGTACCACCAAGCTCCGATCTACCGACCGAACAGAGCAAAAGCGACCATCGATTTCGTCACTACTTCCGTCCCGGGCGCACGCGAACGAACGAAGCGAGATAGAAAGACCCTGAAATCACACTCGCTTCCCTCCACTCCTCCCACGACATCATATCCCACCCTCCTTCCAAGAAAAGCTCAGCCAGCTCCTCCCCACCACTAGTGATTACTGTCTCCTTCAATTGAATATCGTAGTCGAATCGTCACGGAGAACCAAGCCCCTCGAAAACGCCCGGGCTCGAGCCCGGCATGCTCCTCCCCCGGCTCCTTCAACCCGCAGCGGCCTGTTCCCTCCGCCGCGTCGGCGCATTCTCGACGGGGACGACATCGAAGACGATAGCTGCCCCTCCTGCCGCACCAGGACAGATTTGCCTCCGAGCTCGGTTCCCGCGTCGGACGTTTACGACATCGCGTGCGCTTCGAGATGACGTCGCTTCCACGAACCACTACGAGACCTTGAAGGTCGCCCACGATGCCTCGCCGTCTGATATTAAGAAGTGCGTGCCATATTCCTACCTACATACCCAAGCACAATTGACCGTGAATTTTTATAAACCTGGCCGCATTCTGGCGGCACAGGTCTCTAACAAAATACCCTCTCTCCTACCCACAGCCCATGTTCAATGCCCGCTCCATGTGCCTACTTGCCTAAACCCCGTCCCGCCTCTCAGAGAGCCGTAACAGTTGACTCAACCTCCCCTCCTCAGATCATTCTACGCCCTCTCCAAAACACACCACCCAGACCACAACCGCGACGACCCAAACGCATCCCGCAAATTCCACGCAATAGCAGAAGCCTACTCCGTCCTCGGCACCCCCGCCAAACGCGCAGCCTACGACCGCTCCCTCCCCTCCTCCTTCCACAACAGCCACCACGGCGCCCACAGACGCGGCTCCTACCACAGCAGCTCGGGTCCCGCGGGAGGCCGCCCCGCATCAGGCCTCTCCCGGCGGCGCACAACGTTCCGCGGCCCGCCCCCGAGCTTCTACAGGTCCGGCGGCTGGGGCGAACACTCGGCGAAGCGGAGGGAAGCTCACGAGGATACCACTGGTACCGGCGCGGAGAGGGAACAGCCTGGGATGGGCCCAGGGTCGGATCCATACGGGCACACGAGGTCCGCCGCGCCGCGGCACTTTGATTCGCATACGCATACTAAGACACAGCAAAAGCAGGATTCGCGGCGGTCGCATAGGATCATGGGCACGCAGGTCCCAGTTGGACCGCAGGAGACGTCTGTGGGAGCGTTTTTGGTGGTCAGCGGGATCTTGTTCTTTTCCTTTTTCATACCCTTTGTCGCTACTGGCGGATTGAGCCGGAAGAAGAAAGATGCCAAATCATAGAGACCAAGCCATAGAGCTTGCGCAGCAATCTGTAGAGATCTATCAGGATAGATATAAATCACACGACCAAGGGCCAAGCTTTTGGATCACCACGAAATGCTCTCATGCAAAGACACCACGATTTCCCGGTCGACCAAACTCAATTACTCCCCGAACTAATCTACACTAGACAGGAGCCGCCAAATGAAACCAGAAGAGCATTGGGTCCGCTACCCGGCCGGAGAAAGGAGCTGAAAGAATTTTCCTCGTCAAGAATACAGGTATTGAACAAAGGCTTAGCCCTCGAAGGTGAAGCTGGCACCGAGCTTGTGGGTAGCCTGGTCAAGCTTCTGGGTATCAAAGGAGGCACCAAGGCCAAGGGTAACACCCTCGCGGAGGAGGACGTTGTAGCCGAGGGCGGCGACACCGTTGTTGTTGACCTTGAACTGTACGCGTAGATTGGTGAGTAAAGATTCTAGACAAAGGCTTTGCAAACGGGATGATGATACGCACCTTGGCGAAGGAGACAGGGTCGATGCGGTACTTGCTGGCGACCTCGAGACCAACGTTGTTGCCGGCCTTAGAGTTCCAGGTAGCCTTGGCACCGGCCTCAACCTGGGAGTTGACCTTGTGGTAGTATGAGGCAGCGAAGACGCTGAGGTTGTCGCTGGCAGTGATGGCAGCAGAGTAGGTGGGGGCCTGGAAGCCGACAGCGGCGGCGTAGCCGGTGACGGAGGCCTTGTTCACATCGTAGCCGGCAGAGGCACCAGCGAGGAAGCCCTCGTGGCCGACGACGGCGTCGATGTTGGCGGTAGGACCCTTGAGGAGGTCGAAGAAAGCGCGGCTGTGGAAGTTGCTCTGCTTGAAGGTGAGGTTGAACTTGGCGCCCTTCTTGGCGGCGGCCTTCTCGCCGGCGGAGGGCAGGAAGGAGAAGACACCCTCAGCCTTCAGGCCCTTGGCGAGGCTGTCGGCAAGCTCGACCTTGGTGTCAAGGGCGGCAGCGGTGTTCCATGTCTGGGTGAGGGTCAGGCCTGTGCGATGGTAGAACATTAGCAAATGTGCAAATCCCGGCGATACGTTGGCTGCGAATGAGATAGGACTGCCGTAAGGCCGTCCATATATTCGACCCAAGCTGAGATTCAAGCGCTTTAAACGATGGGTGGTGGTTGCTGTACCGGTAGCCTTGTCGGAGTATTTGCCCTCGATCTGGATTGGAGGAAGACAAGGTCAGCCGAGGTTCATATTTGTTTGTTTATGCGACGCTTGATGCATCGTCAAGCGGTGAATGTTAGGGCGGGACTTACAGCTCCAGCGGTGCTCTTCTCGTGGGAGGTCTTGCCGGTGACCTTGAAAGCAACGTTGTTGGGGGTGTTGCTCTTGAGCTCGAAGGTGGTGGCAGAGAGGTGGTAGAAGTCCTTGTTGAGGAGCTATTGAAGGCCAATGTCAGCTGAGTGGTTACTTTCATCGCGGATGACCTCGGCCGTGGAAGGAGCCTAGAGCTCGATTTTCCACGTCCGCGATTACCCGAGAAAAGTGTAGAGGGAGAAGAGGAAAGCGCATACGTCGTTGGCCGACTTGGCGATGTCTCCGAAGTTAGGAACAGACATGATTGCTGATTTTTGACGGGGAAGAGGACTTTGGGGAGAAAATTGAATAGACAATGGGAAAGCGGTTGACGAGATGCGACGGGCAAAAAGAGGCGGGTTGCAGGTGTCCTTTCAGGAGATGGTCTGCTGGGGCGGAAGCTGTTCGAGAAAATGTTTTGGTTGCATCAATTGGTTGACGGGGATTCCCGGCGCAATTCGGTCCGGAGGAGCTTTGCTGTGACGGGGTCGCACTAGGACGCTTCTGGCTGCACGTGGGGGATCTGTTATTGGTTTGTTGGGATTACTGTCGCCTGGCGAGCTCAGATGGCACTCTGGAGGACAGGGGATCGCAATAAGGTAGAGTAAAGCACTGAGAGAGTGGATGTCGAATGCCAGTAGTGTGGGCTATCTAATGCTCCGGTGCTCAATGCAATTTTTCGGTTTTGTTTTTTGATTGTTGTACTCTTTTGCGTGTGTTTGAGTGAGTGTGGAGATAGTGAAATGGAGAGCAAGTGGAAGATTGAATTCGGGACGGAAGATAGCTAGAAAGAATCGGCAGGCGTGAGGATCTTACAGTCAGCCTAAGAGAAGAGGCAGGCACAGAATTGTTTCCCATAGTTCCTGCCTTTTCCCGTTACCTTTGTCCCTGGTCCCACCGCCGCTCATTCCTCTTCCCATACGCCTGTCTTCGTGGTGTAACTCGAATCACTCCATTGTGTCACCTCCTCTTGACTGCCGATAATGTTGTCCATCATCCTCACTGTTCATATTGGGGGCTAACCGAGTCACTGTGGATGCTAGTTTGGCCAGTTACCGGCACTACGCTAACATTCCCGGGCAATCACACTCAATCATTGTCGCATACAAAGTGGACTCTTGGATGGAAGAAGTCAATGGAAGTTGGGGAAGGCTCTGGGATGTTGCTTTCTCTCGTAAGCTCCAGGAACCAACACACAACAGGCCAAGCCCTGGCTAAGGTACCTCCGGAGAGGAACACAGAGAAGAAAATGGTCAGAAACACAATCATCAGACTTTGCGTCTTGGCCACGATCTATAAAAACACTCATAAAGGCGCAATGGCAGATAATAATCGCAACTTCCATTCCCATTTTTTGAGACTCTAAACTTGTTGAGGGTCTACATAATCCAACAAACCAGGACGCCTCTACCTTTACCCGCCCGCATTGACGTAAAGTGCTAGGATACAGGTTGTCTCTCCTCCAAATTACCACTTTATGCGGCGTTCTCGTACTTCTGCTCGTGAACGGCAATAGCTCTGTTATGCAACTTGTCAGCAAACTGACTTGGCCAATTCATTTTCACTGGGGAACTAGAGAGAGGGGGGCATCTTGTGACTCACCTGCCACTGGGGTCCGTCTGCTTGGACCATGTGGGGGTCCAGCGCATGACAGTCGAGGCGCAATGCGGCGGGAAGTGCTCGTCGAACATGAGACGGTACCAGTATCTGTCAATTCGTGTGTCAGCGACGCCTGATCTTTCGAAGCAACAGAAGAGGGATAGATATTGGGCGGTGCTTACGCTTCCTTGGTGTCAGGAATGTCGCTGCCCCACTCCGGCTTGGGGTTCTTCATCATCTCGTCGGTAACGTGGAGCTCGGCGGTGTCTTTGAGACCGTCGATCCATCCGTATCCGACACCGTCCGAGAACTGTTCCTTTTGTCTCCACAGAATGTTGTCCGGGAGGTACGGCTCGGCGCCGGGCTCGTCGGAGGTGTCGAACGCCTTACGGAGGATGTACTTCTCCATCTTCTCCTTGGTAATCATCTTCTCTGAAGGGTCAATGTTCATGCAGGCCTCAAGGAACTACAGAAAACAAAAAGTCAGCGAAGCCAAAATATCATCCGGTTTGCACTCTACTCACCTCCTTATCCAAGAAGGGCACACGCGCTTCAAGACCCCAAGCGGAGGTGGACTTGTTAGCGCGCAGGCAGTCGGCAAGATGCAGGTTCTTGACACGGCGAACAGTCTCCTCGTGGAACGCCTTCTTGTCGGGAGCAGCGTGGAAGTAAAGGTAACCACCAAAGATCTCATCACTTCCCTCACCACTGAGAACCATCTTGATACCCATGGCCTTGATCTTACGGGAAAGGAGGTACATCGGTGTGGAAGCACGGATAGTCGTGACATCGTAGGTCTCGAGATGGTAGATGACGTCGGACAGAGCGTTGAGACCGTCCTCAATCGTGAAGGTCATGACATGGTGCTTGGTGCCGAGGAACTTGGCGACCTCGAGGGCAGCCTTGTTATCGGGCGATCCAGGGAGACCGATAGAGAAGGAGTTGAGCTGGGGAAGATATGTGACTGTTGACAGCTTGTTGTCATCGTCGATACCGACCATGCCATCGCCAGTGTCGGGGTTCTCCGTCATAGGGAGCGCGCCACCGTTGGCCTCGAGGGCCGCCTTCTTCAACCGCAAAGTCTCTCTTTGGGCAATGGCTGCGACCAAACTAGAATCCAGACCACCGGACAACAGGACACCGTACGGCACCTCAGCCATGAGTCTCTTTCTGACCGACTTCTCGAGCTTTTCGCGGATCAACTTAAGGTCGAGGGGGGTCTCGGGGACCTTTGCGGCGTCCCACCAGGTGGGCTCGAAATATCTTGTGGTCTTGCCAGTGGCAGAGTCGTAGATGTGACCAGGGGGGAAGGCCTCAACCTTGTCGCAGACGCTGTGCAGGCACTTCAGCTCGGAAGCAAAGTACACCGCATCAGGCTCTTTTGAGGACCAGCCGTAGTAGAGAGTGGTGATGCCGATGGGGTCGCGGGCGGCGATTGTGCGGTCCTGCTTCTTATCGTACAATACAAAGGAGAACATGCCGTCGAGGTGCTTCGGGGCATCGAGACCATACTCCATGTACTGTGGTGCGTTAGATGCCCATGTCTGCCATTGTGGGTATCAGGTCGCGGGGCGATATTGACTCACCAGAGGGATGACGACCTCGCAATCGGAGCCGGTTTTGAAATGGTATTTGTGCTTGAGGGACTTGCGAATCAGACGGTGGTTGTAGATTTCACCGTTGACGGCGAGGACGATGCTCTCATCCTCGTTGGTAAGGGGCTGGGCGCCGGACTCTATGAGGTTGGTTAGCCATGGACGTTGTGGCCAGGTATTGAAGGTAAACATACCGACGCCGACGATGCTAAGACGCTCATGGCACAGAACTGCAATTGATGGTCAATTGATGTGGCATTGATAGTCGTGGTCAAGTGCAACCTACTCGTTTTGTTGGAAATGACGCTTCCACCTATGCAAGGAAGTTTTGTCAGTTGTCTGCTTCGTTGGTGTCGACGTAGCGCATCGCGGTGACTCAGAACTCACTCCAATCGGGGCCACGGTGACGAATGCTGTAGACTGGGAGTCAATTGATGCGCCTTGAGGAGGGACGATTGGAAACTTACGCCTTTGCAAGCTTCAAAGCCGTAGGCTTGAACTTTTGAACGTCGGGGTGACTGCGCGCACACACAGTCAGTCGCATTCTCCAGAGGCTTCATGGCGGGGTTAATTTTTTTTTGGGAGGGGAGCTCGCGCTGCCCCTCCATCGGCGCCGAAGTAGGGACGATCTCGCAGTTGAGCTTACCGGTGACAAGCGAAAATGCCACACATGATTGCAGTCTCTCGAAGCTACGGCTGTGTGTTTGTGTATGAGTTTGGGAGGAACTTTGCAATTCAAAAAAGGCAGAAGAGGCGAAAGACGTGTCCCGGGAGAATAAATACGGAGCAAGAGGTGAGAGCAACCGGGTGAAGGGGTGGGAGTGAAAGAATTATGACTCTTCTTGCGCTTCACCCAGTTTTTTTATTTTATCGTTATTTGTTTATGACCTTAGTTACCCTTTCCATTTGCCGCAACGGCCCCAGAGAGTACCTACTTGGAAGCATTGGACCGCGCTTCTGATACAATGACATCCCCCCTAGCACCTGGCTCATCCGACAAAAAGCCCAGCCCTGACACCCGGTACTTTACCAACCTTGGGTTGTCGGAGGCCGTAGCCGGTGCTTCGATAAGGGTCGGAAACGTCAGGACCGTCTTCAACTCTGTGCCAAAGTATCCTCAAGGGTTGTCAAAGTGTGCCAAAATTGCAGGTCCGCTGCCACGGAACCACAATGACTGGCCGCATCTGCACGATACGCTAATCTGCTGCGCTGCGCTAGTGTAACATAGCTGGTCCCCTGGGCCGATCTCGGCTCTCACACCCATTGGCGGACTGGCCAGTCAGAGTTCACCAGTCTCCCAATTACCTAACCTTGCCGACTGATAAGAAACTGCATCGTGCCCAGCCACCAACGAGAACGCAGAGCAACGAGTCGGTGTGGTTCTGCCGTTTGCTGTTTGCTGCTTGCTGTTAATCTGTTCTTCCACGACAGCCCACATATGGTGCCACGGAGACGCCTTCTATCTGCGAAGCTGCAGTTCTTGACGCTGCCGGGCATACTTACCTCAATTTGTTCGGGATAATTAATGTCTTTGACTGGCGGGAAAACGAGGCTTTCGGTAGCCCGTGTCTTTCACCGTTTGGTAATACGCCCGCTCCCATTGAGTCCTGACTCTTCCCACCCCGACTTACTCGTCACCAGTGTCAGGGTTCCGGGTCCCATGCCAAGCAAGCTATTGTGGAGGCGCGCTCCTCCGACACAACAGCCCGGCGGCATTAGTTCCGGTGGAATATCCACAGCCGGCGGCTTTCGACGGGTAATAAAACGAGCCTCCCACCACGGACTGGTGGGGTTTGGAACTACTGTCAAAAGAGTCATTATCATCACCTACCTGCGTGCCTGGCTCATGTAGTCGACTCGCATATCATGTCTGCTCGTCTTCTCAAGCTCTCAATGAATGCATCTCACACGCAAGTAGCCTACTCATCAGATCAACAGCTGGGCTGGGGATTGATTGCCCACTTGTTTGCTTCCCTCACAACATCCTTATTGCATTGTCATATGACATATCGAAAGCAGAGAAGCAGACCGTATGGTATTCCCGTAACTCCGAAGTCCTGCCTAATGGCATGACGCTGTTATCTCGTAAATCTATCCACACATAGCTGCCGTTGCCTCTAAGGCGCCGGGTTTTCTCTGACAACGCGCTTGATACGCTTCTCATATTCCGTCTTGTCCTTCTTGAAGAGACTGTAGGCCTCAGCCTGAGCGGGCGACTCGGGGTTGGGATCGTCGAGCAGGTTCTGAATGCCGAGCAGGATCTGCTTCACCGTGATCGCAGGCTTCCACGCCTCCTCCTCGTTCAAGATCGACAGGCATACGGTGCCGGAGGGGTAGACGTTGGGATGGAACAGCGGAGGGACGAATTTGCCTGATGAACTTTTGTCAGCTTACTATATAGTTGCGAGCTTAAGGGTGCTTTCAACTCACACTTAGGTGGCTTCGTTGGGTACTCTGTTCCGCGCAGAATTGTCAGCAACCGGCTTTCACTTCACTGCCATTTCTCTGAACACACCTTCGGGGAATGTGATTGTCAACTTGAACAGGCCGCCCTCCCAGATTGTCTTCTCCTTGCCAGGAATACCGCACTCCCAGACCTTCAGGTCGAGAGTTCCAGTCGCCGCATTGCGCTGAGGCTTCGCGAAGAAACCAAAAGGGTGGTCCTTGCGCCACTGCTTGCTATAGCACAGCCAGATCAGTCAGACATTGGGTTGACAAGGTCGGGGCAGCTGAACAACATACCGCTCCTCTTGAAGTCTGTTCTGGCAAAGCGACATCGTGGAGATGTGTGGTCGTTACTGAAGGTAATGTTTCCGAACTTGTGTGCGACGTCTGGCTCGCGTGTCGCAAAGGTTGCGGTACTGCACAATCGGGACAATTCTGTCTTCGTATCGGGTGGTGATCGAGGTTTCGAGGCGTTCGGATGGTGGAGGTGTCATAAAACGGTCACGCCGGTCGATGTAGAAGAGAAGAAGGGTAAGGCTGGGGGGTTTCCGAAGATAGTTCGGTGTGTGAAGGCAAAGCCGCGGCGAGTAGAAATCGTCAACGAGTTACCTGAGGTAAGGCACCTTGCACTTGCCTCGTTGAATGCGCCGCGTTGGAAGGCGGAAGATTTTCGGGGTAAGGGTACGTACCGATTGATCAGCCAACGGAAGGTGCGAGACCTGGCATAGGTGAGATGCCGCGGTACCTTCCGCAGGAGCTCAGGGCAGTTGGGACTGCTGGAGAGGGGCGGCTGGGGCGCGAAGCGGAACGTCAGGTCGCCCAATGGACAAATGGGAGAAAGGACCCCGCCCTAAACCGCGTTAGTCCAGCGGCGCGGGGTGCTGGGAATCTGACGTGGGGCTAATGGACCTGCCCAGATGCAAGACAACCCAGGAGCTTCAGGCCGATTCCTCGGCTTTCATCTGACAGTCCATCTTTCTGCACGTACATAGGCGATAATCCCAGCCCAGTGCGACTGTCAATCTTGACCCAGCCCTTTTGAGGCCGTCTATCACCTGCAGCGCCCCGAGGCTCTGGTTCCTGTTGCCTTTATCCGACTGCGCACCGTACGATACCTTTGTCACGACTGAACCCAAGCGCCTTTGATTTACTGCAGCACGCATCGTTTTGGTAATTGCATCGGAGGTACTCTGCAAAGATGGAGAAGGATGGTAGCGCAGCCGGCGCCGGCAATGCCGAGGCGAAAACCGTGGTACCGCCGGTGGAAGAGACGAAGCCTACAACTGTTGTTGAGGATGTTCCTGACCCCGATGAAGACGACTTGGACGACTTGGATGGTGCGCCCGCCATACGAAACCCTCCGCGGCCTTTTGGAATACACTGACTCTGCTAGATATGCTCGACGACTTTGCTGCCGTGAATGTGGAACCGAAGAAAGCAGCACAACCTGCTGCGTCAGCTGCGAAGACCACCGCGGCTGGGCCAGGTAGACCCACGACAGCTGTGGAAGATGATTCTGAGGACAAGACACTGGAAGAGATGCTGTCTTCCGACGATTTCGCTAAGCAGCTCCAAGCTGGCATGGCTGACCTGATTGGAGAATTCGAGAAGAATGTGGGAGACTTTCAATGCCAGCCGACTCAGATACGATTGCTAACCACTTACCATAGCCCGAGATGCAAGCGCAATTTGATAACGTTTTCAAGCAGATTAGTGAAGCTGCGCAAGAAACGGAAACCTCTGCCGAAGGTGCGACCGGAGCAAAAGCGCCGCCACCGCCAGCGTCAGCTTCATCGTCAAGCAAAGCTCCCGTTGCCGACCCCATTGCCGACGGTTCCTTCCAGGAGACTATCAAGAAGACCATGGAACGCATGCAGGCATCGGGACAACAGGCGACTGCAGCCGCGGCAGAGTCATCCACCGAAGATTTCCTTGCAGAGATGATGAAGCAACTCGGGGAGGGGAACCTCGAAGGTGGTGGTGGCAACGAGGAGGAGTTCTCAAAGATGCTTATGGGCATGATGGAGCAGCTCACTAACAAAGAAATTCTGTACGAGCCCATGAAGGAGCTCAACGACAAGTTCCCCGAGTGGTTGGCAAAGAACCGGGAAAAGACGCCGGCAGAGGATCTCAAGCGATACGAGGAGCAGCAAGCGCTGGTCAAGGAGATCGTGGCCAAGTTTGAGGAAAAGACGTACGCCGATTCCAACGCGGCGGACAGAGAATACATTGTGGACAGGATGCAAAAGGTCAGAACCCCTTCGAAAGTTGGATCTTCACGCGCTAATAAGAGACAGATGCAAGCTGCTGGCTCACCCCCGTCTGATTTGGTTGGTGATATGCCATCAGCGCAAGAAGCTTTCAGTGCAGACGAGGGCTGTAATCCCCAATAATTGGACATTCCAAGGAAGTCCCATCAAATATGTTCCTACACAACCGATGCCATGTCCCGTGAGTTTGCACATACACAGGAGCCTTTCGTGGCGTATTCCGACCGCCGTTCAATGCCCAACGCCAAAAGGCAACCCCCAGATCCCAAAGCCAAATAGTCTCGCATAAACGCCACAAAGTAAATAGACCAGCCGTAATAAGTGCCATGTTTTCATGACATGTCCATATCTTGTGAGGACGCGTCTGGCTGACTGCTTTCCTGTGATACCAAATCCCTGAATAACGAGTCGTAATCCTCGTCGTCTGACAGGCCATAAGGATCTGACTGCATCATTTGCGAGGAGCCAGACTCGGGCTGCGCATCAGACGACTGGTCGTGGGAGAGCAATAACGCATCGAGCTCGTCCTGCTCCTCCTGGGCGATGGCATCAACCATCATATCGTCAGCATCATTGGGGATGCGTTGCGCGCGCTCTTGGAGAACAGATGCTGCGTCCTCGATATCTGCTTCGGAAAACATCGCATTGCCTTCAATTTGCTTGGCGTAATGCCGTTGCCGCATATCGCGATCCCAGTCAGACTTGAGAAGCTGTCAGATACGTCAGTATGCCGTATCTCAGACGATAGCAACGCATTAACGTACAGTGCCCTCCATATCCCGCCGCTGGTACTGACGATCATCCGCGCGCTGCCTCACATTTTGGAGAAACAGCTTCCGCCTGCTCTCCTGCGCTTCTTCGCGTTTCCGGACTATCGGGTTCGGTTTCGTAGCTCGTGATGCATATTTGAACTTTGGTTGAGGAATAGGCGAGGACTGTGTGTGTCGTACGGTGTTGTCATTGATGGGCGAGAGGGGTGATGACGCGCGGATGGGCGATGAAGAAAGAGGCGACGGGACCGTGGGCCTGAAATCCCATGTCCGGTCGCTGAAGATGGGTACGGGTCCGGCGACGGAGAACATTGCGGAGCTTTGGTTGACGTCTGGTATCTTGTCTTGTTGCATAGAGTTGATGTCGCTAGAAAATGGGTAATGCTTGTGTGCAAAGTCGAGTGTCGGTTGTGCTGTCTCCAAGGTGCCGAGCTCTGAAGCTATAGTTGCAGTCGTCGCCTCTTGCAGGTTGCTTAATTGGATCACGGCGCTGAAAGGTGTAATCGAACGCGACCTGAACGCGGTTGAACTAAAGATGTTTTGCGCCACAACACATGTGGCTTGGAGCGATGACACGTGAATTCCACTTTTGAAGGGTCCCTTCCCGGTCCAGTGACGGATCATGCAGAAGCAGTTAATTACGGTCTTCTGGGCTGAACCTCTGTCCCGGCGGTTTCCGAACGGACCCCGAGGTAAGGATAAACGTGGCGCTCGACGAATGAAAACGACCGTCTAGAGCGCCACCGTTCCCCTAGACCCCAACGATATGGCAGGCGCAGGCGCAGGGCCAGAAAGATAGAGGAAGAAAAAAAAAAGTCCAGAAGAGTACGGATAGACTGACGACATGACATTCGACTAATTAGCTCTGGACCGCCCCCAAAGCGACTCGATCCCTTGAAAAACGACTCCACTATCTGTAGCGACTGTTGGGAAAGTCCATATCGAGACACGCCTCTTTGCATGCAAAAGCAAACACCGAATCTCAACGTAGACTCGTAGAATGAGCGTCGGCGCAGACAGTCCTCCTGTTTGTCATATCGTCGGCGGCAGTCGGCCAGAGTCCAGATGAAAGTCTTTACCGCCTTCTCGCTCCCATTGCGCCGGCTTGCTACTCGACGGCCATGGACCTGCTCCAATTGTCGTGGAGGCCCGTTGGCGCAGCAGTCTAGCCGGGCACAAGAGCAGCAACAGCAACGATTTAGCAACACCGCACGCGGGTTCTCTTCCACGACCACGAAGGCCGCGATCAACCGGGCCACACCGAAGACCGGCGGTGGTAAGAAGGGTGGTCGCGTTTGGCTTCTTGCTTCAGGCGGTGGCGCTGCGACGGCGGGTGTCCTTGCGTTTGGTGACGACATCAAGTACGGCTACGATGCGGCGGAGCGAGCAGGCCGTGTTGCTGCAGCGCTTGCAGTATGCATTAATGAGTACGGAGAGCCCCTTACCGAGAAGCACCCTCCCAGGACGGTCTTTGCTAATACAGTTGCAGCTACCGAACGACTCTTAACCAAAAGGAAACGATTGACGACCCCGAACTAGCAAACAAAATCTTGAAAGATTGTCACCAGCGATGTGCCGATCGAACATTAAAGGTCCTGGAGAAGAACGGTGGGATCTTCATCAAATTGGGCCAGCATCTTGTAAGAGCCCCCCTATTCCTCGATTTATTGTAGCTCTGGAGACTAATACAACCCCCCAGAGTGCTATGAACTACCTCCTCCCGCAAGAGTGGACGAACACCTTCATTCCGCTACAAGACAAGTGCCCCGTATCATCCTTCGAGTCGATCGAAGAAATGTTCCGCAAGGATACTGGAAAAGAGCTCTGGGACTACTTCTCCGAATTCTCAAACGAACCGATTGGTGCCGCATCGCTGGCTCAAGTACACACCGCTACAGTGAAGGACACGGGAATGCCTGTGGCTGTCAAGGTGCAGCACCCAGGACTAGGCCAGTGGTCTCAACTCGACCTCGCCCTGACACGGTTCACATTTTCCACGCTCAAGCGCTTCTTCCCGGAATACGACTTGGAATGGCTCTCTAAGGAAATGGATATCTCGCTACCGAAGGAATTGGACTTCAGAGAAGAAGAGCATAATGCTAATCGTACGAGGGAACATTTCGCCAAGCTGCCCGAGCACCCTCTCGTCGTCCCCGGTGTACTCTGGTCGAAGGAGCGCATTCTGGTCATGGAGCGGGTGTCTGGACATCGATTAGACGACCTCGAGTACCTTGACGCCAACGGTATTGACCGAGACGAGGTTTCCGCCTGTCTCGCGCGCGTTTTCAACGAAATGATCTTTGGCCACGATGCACCCTTGCACTGCGATCCCCACGGCGGCAACCTGGCCATTCGCAAGAATGAGTCCAGACGCGGCCTCCGAGGCGGGCACAACTTTGATATCATTCTCTACGACCACGGCCTCTACCGCGAAATCCCCCGCGACCTGCAGCGCTCCTACGCCAAGATGTGGCTCGCCGTCATTGACGGCGACATGAAGCGCATGCGCAAGTACGCCAAGGAGGTGGCCAACATCAACGACGAGCAGTTCCCTCTTTTCGCCTCCGCCATCACGGGCCGCGACTGGAGCGTTCTTAACAGCGAGGGCTCCGTCTTGAAGACGCGCACGGACGACGAGAAGAAGGAGATGGGCGACGCGCTGCAGGAGGGCCTGATTGTCGACCTCGTTCAGCTCCTCGGCCAGGTCCCGCGCATCATCCTCCTCATCCTCAAGACCAACGACCTCACCCGTAGCCTGGATGAGAACCTACATACCCGTCAGGGCCCCATCCGCTCCTTCATGATTCTCGCCCGGTACTGCACCCGGACCGTCTTTGAGGAGCAGCTCGAGGACCTGAAGCGGCGGGGCTCGCTGCTGTGGCCGCCGAATACCTTGCGCCTCATGTCCGCGTGGATCGGCTTCTTGAGGGTGGAGCTCAAGCTTGGAGCCTTTGAGTTGTATTTGAGCGCCAAGAGGGCGTTTGGATTCAAGGGCGTTGAGTTTGCGGCTCCGGGCATGTAATTGTATTAGATACCTGGACATATGTAGAGCTATAGACTTGTAATTTGACTGTTAGATGAATGTAGTACACAACACCTTCCATGCTTTTCCTGCTCGAAAGTCTCTGTTACGTCTAGCCGTGAGTCTAGATTGCTCCGCGACTGGTCCACCAACCGTAATGATCCCCAAACAAGAAGACAAACGGACGCAACAATGAGTTAGTATTGAATACAACCTTGCCAACAACTTGAGTCACCCGCTACAGCCAAGCAAGTTTCCTTTAAGCCCATATTGACAAGGGAATGCTCCCGTAAGTTCACACATTGTACATATTACAACATCGAGCACCCTTCGCTGTTTTGGAGAACATCTTGGACGAAGTTAATGACTAATGGACACTGTGACAAGTTACGCATGATATGATAATGCGGGAATGCCAATCAAATTGGCGGAATTGCAACCTCCAATGGCGAGTCACTGAATACACAGCAATGTTAATGCGTGTTAGAGGACGCAATTGTGAAAATCGCAAGACGCAAGTGGGGATGATACTATCCATTCATTCTATGAGTACCGTGATGGCAGATACATGTCACTATGAGTTTGAATATTAAGGAGTTATGGAGTTTGACAATGTTCTCATTATCGCCTGCATGCGCCAGACCTATTGACTAAGATACAACGCTCGACTCTTTCATGTTCACTAGCCGGCTCCATCCAAAGCGATAAGGTGGGTATCGGTTCGTAAAGGCGTGATTTACATGTTGTCGAGACGCTCCTTGGCGGACTCCTTGGCCTCGTCGGAAACATTGGGGTTCTTCAGGGTACTGAGGGTGGCGTGTTAGCGACGCAGCTATGGTTGATGTTGTGAGGAGGGGAAAGACGCTTACGCCTTGAGGCCACCGGCAACGTTGCCAGGGTTCTTCTCCTCGTTATCGCTAGCCTTGGGGACATCGCCGCCGTTGAACTCGTTCTCGAGAACCTTCTTGGAGTTCTGCTTGGACTCCTCGGAGGTGTTGGGGTTGTTGATGTTGGCCTTGTGGCCGCCGGCGATCTGAGCTTCGGTAGGCATGTTGAAGGTTGGTGGTTGGTGATTGAAGTTGGGAAATCTGGTTGTTTGCTGTTAAGCTGTTGGAAGATGTTGAGATTGTTTGACTGTTTGTTGTTGTGATGATGAGAAGAAAGAAAGTATGTCCCAGAGGTGTTGGATTACCTCCTTCTTATACATCTTCTGTACTCATCGACATGGACTCTTGTGACCTAGTCGAGCTCGAGCTGCAGGACGACAATCACATCAAACAAAGCAAAACTTCAGTCCATTCCCCTGACCGCCATCAGAGCTCGTGGTGCGATCCGCATGTGTTGGAGCCGGCAGGTTCGACGTAATTCATGTCATCATCGAATCTACCCCTCATGTACATGGCGTTCTCACTTCGACAATAGTGAAATGCCTATAGAACCCAAGCAATCACGATACGGTCCTCGTGAAAAGATACATGTTTCTCCAACCCCCTCTGCATAAGGGAAAGAAGCAAGACGTGGAATCAATCCATCCGAGCTACGGCAAGGCTACCGGGCCAACGACCGAGCGGTCTGAACTGTATGGACCTATTAGTCCCGGCAGCTCCCTCGTACTCAAGTGGTATTCACCCCTTTCGATCATCGACGAGAAAAGTCATGACGTCCTTGGTTTCCCTTCTGTGCTGGTGCCGAAAGGGAAAGGAGTCGTTCCCCATACTGAACGAGATTGAGATGGCACAAGTCGGTGCGTCGTGGCTTGAATGATGGTGCATGTTTCTTATTCCGCTACGCCCAAGCGGTCGTACTTTGCGTGCCTGGAAGGAGGTTTTAGACATGACTTTCCGTAAAGAGGCACACGTTGTGAAAGGGGGCCGGCGCCGGGGCGAAAGTTGTGGGGGAGGGGCGGGAAGAAAGATGATAGATCGGTCTAAGACCAAGCTACTGACTGTGACACGGTGACAGCCTCAAGGTCGCAGCTTCGTGTGGTTAACATGATGGGTGGTATTGGTTAAGGAAACAGCGGTGCCAGCCCTACAATCCCCTACGACGTTACACTTTTCAATTAACGGGAGACGCGGGGTTGGAGAGGCAAAGGGACGGACGGCACTAGGGGAATTCGGTTCATGCCCGTCCGTCCGCCCCTCCCATCTGGGTATCCTGCCGGGCGATTGAGGTGGGATGAAGTCAGATCGACCGATGATGCTAGCGGGGAAACGGCATAGTAGAGGTATGGAAGCGTAGCAAACACTCCGGGCAGAGGTTCTTTGGGCAAGTGGTCAAGCGGGTGTTCGAGATACGGCGGCTCTTTGCAGGAGCTTGGGGCTTGGGTAACCTCAAAGCAACCAATCTGGAACCACTCGTTGCTTGATCGAGGCTCAAACCACCATGCTAGATACGTTTGGAGGCATGTAGGTAGATCGATCTGATCTAGGCTGCACTTCTCGGCCGCCCAACCTTGCCGTCATGACCAAACACCTTCGTCATTACTTGGGCGGAAGAAGAAAGGAAGACTTAATGCTCGATGCGCTATTACATCCAGTTAGCTAGTTCCCAGCGGCAGCACCCAGTCAATTGGCATCTATTGGACCTTGTCAAGAAATGCCAATGCCCAATTATTGCATTGGCTGATAGGACTTCGTCCAGACGAGGTTTGCCGTGGATAACCTGACCCGGTGACAAGGACAAGAATGAGATGAGGTGGTGATGTAATGGGTATCTAACCCCGCCAAAGAGTAAATCCGATTGTCAAACCTCCGCCAAAACGGGCAATGTGAGATCGAAATCTGACATGGTAATCTGGGAGAGGAATGCAAGGTACCGCCCCAAGCCCAAAGCTTGCCAAGGTCCAGCCTCCAAGTAGGTATTAGCCCGAAGCAAATAGCATCAAAGACCGCTTCTAGACCGTGCAAGGGGCCGAGATGTGCGGGGGGGCTGTGGCCTGTGGGGAAAGCTGATCTTGTGCTCATCTTGCGTGAGTCTGTCTGCGTTTGCAAAAAATGGTGCGTTTTAGACAATCCCATCATAACAAAGCTTTGCCCGTACGCTAAGAGCATTACGGCGTGGTGCCGCTGGGCTGGTTATGCGGCTGTAGATAAGGGCCAGGAGGTGATGATTCATCGGCTTTGGTTGGTGATGTCAATGACTGGTCGAGCTAGGCTGGGCCAAGACGCAGATATGCATATTGCGGAGAGCACAGACTCCCCGCGGCAGGAGCTTCTTGTCCGGAGGGAATGAGGGGAGATGCAATGATCTCTGCGTAGTGATCGGCAGGGGAAGGAAAACGTAAGAAAATGTGAGATGCAGACAGATTCATAGATATGTAGAAGCGCAGGACCTCGCGGCTTCATAGTGCAGGCGAGTTTCGCTAATCCTCTCTCATCCTTCTCCCATCCACGAACATTTTTCAGCCATGCTGGGCCGTCGGGCACTCGTCTCGAATAAATCATTCAGGTCCAGTAAGTTTGACGTGCTAGTGCATTCAGCCAGCCATAGAAGACACAAGGCTCTCGTCGGGTTTTACCTGACACCAATCACTCAATTTCTCGCCATGTGCCGCTTGGAAACACGAGATAATTAACTGCCGGTAGTCAAGTGAACGTCGGGAGTCATGATATTCCACGTCGTGTACGGATGTTGCTTGTGTGATCCGGCATCAGCCGCAGAATGATATCCTTCGCCTTGCATAGTTGTACAGGAGCAGCGTGGCACCAATAGCGAATGAGACGAGGAAGCATACGCGTGGTTCTCATCACTTAGTCGTCGGCCGGGTCATGTCGCCCACAACCCGTTAGCACTCGCGGACCACTCGGTTTTCGACTAATGCATCGCGTCTGTTTCCAAGTGAGACAATTCGGTCTGCTGCCAGAGTTTCTGCCTTACAGCTGTCTTTACGGAGTAGATTGACCCTATTGAGCCTGAGTTCGTATTGCCAAAAGTCTCTGAGCTGCCTGGGATCATGACTAGATTACCGAGTAGTTGGAGGGAGAAGTAGGCCATTGTAGCAAGCCCGATGATTCTGTTTATGCCGCATCATGAGAGGCCTCTTCACCGTTCGCGATGATGTCTATTTTCGGTGACGATGCATCTTTCAGGTGAAGATATTGAAAGCGCGAAAAGTGTCCGCGCCAAAGAAACATTGGAACGAAGTCGGTGAAGTCAGCCGCTCGGCTAGTGCCGCCGCGGTGCCAGATCGGACTCACCAACCAATCACCACTCCCAGCGCGGCTGTCAGGGAAGAACGTACCCACCCTGCCGCGTGGCTGAGCTGAGGCTTCGCTCGGGCCCCTGCCCATCCCCAATCCGACTACACTCCATCCCGTCTCAATTCCCCGTCCTCGCCGGACCATCGGCATCCCATCGCAAACACCACCAATTCGATCCAAATCCATCCTTTCCCGTCAATTCTCACAATCAACCTTCAATAGAGCCTCAGCTGATGTAACCACACCTCACTCCGAATATCGGAAAGAGGCTGAGAATCGAAACACCACACCCGCACGCACACAGCACACACATCACTGCCGGCCCCCCCCCCTCCCCCTCCAAGTATGACATCACCGGACACCCCCGAAAGCCAACCGGCAGCCATCAACTATGTCGCCGGCTTCCTCCTCGTCGGTCTGGCGTGGGGCTTTACGACCCCCTTTATCCGCCGCGCCGCAAAGGACCACAACCCGCCCCCGCACCCGGTCCTCGACACCGAGGCCGTGAAGAACAGCTGGCTCCGGAGCCGGGTGTACGGCGCCTTCTTCGGCGTCGTAGATCTGTTGCGGAACCCGCGGTATGCCGTGCCGCTCCTAATTAACTTGACTGGGAGTGTTTGGTTCTTCTTACTCATTGGGCAAGCTGGTGAGTGTCTTCATTTCCCCCCTTCATTCAAGGGCCTTTCTTTTTGGAGTATCACGAGAGTGTAAGGAAAGAGTTGTGTGAATAACGGCAAATGTGCTAGAATTGAGTTTGACGGTACCCATCGTCAATACCTTGGCGTTCCTCTTCACTGTCATTGGAGACTGGTGGGTTGAGAAGAAGGTCATTAGTCGAGGTAAGTGCGGACGTTCCAAAGATGAGAAAACCCCCCTTCGATTGGCTACGATGGCTAAGTCTGCTGCAGAAACCTTGGTCGGCATGGTGTTGTCTCTTTCAGGAATAGCGTTATGCGTGCACAGCAAGACGAAGTATTGATTCTGAACCTCTACGGTTTTTGGGGGCCGCTTTTTTTTACCCCCCGAAAAGAGACAAGGTGCATGCATGAGATCTGTGTATATCGATGTCTCGCCCAAGGTGCATGATGCAAGATGTGGTGTTTGGCATTTTCGATCCATGTAGAATATGTGTAACAAATATATATCGTAGAAGCGAACAACGTGCCTGCACCAGGCAGCTTCAGTCATCTTATCTTCTACCGTTTCGCGATTCACTTCTCTCCCATCATCAGAACCCTCTTATCTGTAGTCGTTGGGTCTACCTGGACCTTCTTCCTGTTTAAGCGCGTCCAGCCCGCCCATGAAAACCCGGTAATAATGCATTCCGTCGAAAAAAGAAAAAGAAATAAAAGAAAAAACATTATCGAAACGCTCGCTTCGTAAATGGTATCCTCCATGCGCCGTTTATGCCAAAGATCCCTCGTCCCCGATGCCGTCAGAAGAAACATTACTTTTTTGGTCTTGAATCATCGAACATCCCCAGTCATCTCAACTTCGTGAGTCTTCGTCTCGTGGATATCGTGGCGAAGAGCCTCTACGGTCGACGTGCGCGGAGCCAGCGCTGCACACCTCGTTGGCTTGGGTCCTCGGCCGTCCAGCGGCCCATTGCGGCATCGGACGCCAGCAGTTCGTTGTAGATCGCCTCGTCGGTGATGGTAGCGAGCTCCTAGATGCCTCGTATTAGTCCAAGGCGCCTCTGTATCTCCAATACTGCCGACGTATCCGTGACTTACAGCTCTGAGCTGTTGATCACACGCTCTCAGATGCGATTGATTCCTCGAGTTCGGTCGCGCGCCCTGCAGAATGCCATCCCTGTTGGTAACCCATCGCTGCGCAGCAGCTTGTCGCAGGTAGATCTTCTGGCACTCGTGTCTCCTCGAGAACGCGTCAAGCAAGCATCTGCAATGTCAAAATCAGCTTTCCTGCCCAAGGATCAACCAGAATGATATGCCCTACTGCCTCAGCTCCGCCTTCTCCTGCTCAAGGGTCCCGCCACTTGCTTGCGGAACGCTGGTGTCGGCGGCGCAGTTGAGAATGTGCTGCCCGTCAAGGGAGCATTGGCGCAAAGCCGCCCAACCTTCTGTGTAGTAGTCCTCCATGTTGCTGGGGTCTGTGGGTGCTGCTGCGATATAGTATTGTAAAGTGCGGAAATCGGAGAGGACTTCGGCTACTCTCGTCGTTCTATAGTCGTTCACTAACAAGAACATTAGATCCAAGCGCACCACAAGAGCCTCTGCAATGTGTAGTCCATCGTATGGGAAAAGTTTGGCGTATAGCAACTTACAACCGTCCATTGTGATAGTACGTAGGGTAGATTAGTACTCTTAGTAATCAAACGAAATCCGATATAAAGGAAACAAGTGGAGTGAAGAGAAAGATCAGATAGGAAGATTAATGCCAGATTAGCGAACGAGAGGCTATTACTTCCAAAGACCATGAAACACTGGATGGAGCATGATGATCGACATCAAACTTGAACGCCACGCGGTTTTCCTTTTGTATGTTCTGGACGGCCTCCAAAGGACACGAGAATTCAACCGTGAAGGTTTACGGAGCGTAGTCCGAATCAAGGTCAAGCCTGGCTCCCGTCAGGAACCATGAACCAGAACCCATGCCCGGGTCCTTCGAGCGGAGGGAGCCCCATAGGGATGCATGAGCTCATTGAGAGGGTTGTGTCCAATGAACCCTTGGTTCATCTGGACGGACACCCACGGCCCCCCAGTTCGCTGATAGGGCTAGCTGACGAATCGGAAAATACACGCCGGGGTCCTGGCAGTTGGGATGGCTTTGCAAGCTCAAAGCTAGACGGAGACCCTAGCCAAGCTGGTGGCATACCCCCGGTTCCCGGCAAGATGATGCGATAGAGACACTTGTCTGGATATCCTGGAGGGCCAGGAGGCCTTGGAATGATGCCAACTTGCGTCTTGAAAGCCTGTAAGACCACGTTCCAGCCCTGGACGGCTATCAGAATTGACGATAGTCTGGCGTGTAATGTGGGCAGGTCAGCATGCGGGATCATGGCTGCGGCCACTCAACATGGGCCGGACAAGGCTGCATGGGATGTGAGACCTGAGCCGGGGAGAGGGTGGGAAGATCTGGGACGGTGGGATGGAACGGGCACATGGTCTTCGTCGGCAAGCAGCCGGGGGGGGGGGGGGGAAGAACAAGATGGGATGACGGAGAAAAAAAAAACCACAAAAAAACCGACGAGCCTCCATCAAACCCGTCGAAAGTGAGTCTTTTCTCCGGTAGAACGGACAGGTTGGTGACAGGGATGCGGAATAAGGTAAGGCTGGTGGATCTTCAGCTGCATCCACATTAGACTTGGCGGCCGGAATAGGAAATGGGCTGGAGCTTTGCATGCAGTGCTGCTCCACAGCTTCGTGGCTTGACGGGGATAACAACCAATCAACCGTCGAAACTGTGACGTTTGCCCACGGCTGGCACGTTTGGCACGTTTTATTCCAGCTGAACCAGTATCGTAAAACCGTCACCCGCATTAGGCCCCCGTCGCCGTTCCCCTTTGCGACTTAGCAGAAGGCTGACTGGGAGACTCGGGAGGTGTTTTCCTCACGGCACTCGATTGCTGTGAAAAGGACTGGTCGGGAGCTCTTGGGGGCTGATATCTCCAGCTCTGACTCGGGACGCCATCTTCCTCGAGAACCGTCATCGATGTCTCGGCCTCGTGAACTCTGCAGCCCCCAATAAAGGAAATGTGGCCCTGCATTTGCACAGCATTTCTGACTTCCGGTCGCTGAGCAATCAGGCGCTCTCAATGGACCAACCTGCAATTCTTAATGTCGTTAATCATCTGTTACATTTGCTTTTTCACAGAAGTCGACTCACTTAATAGCACTGGCCGCCCTATGAGACCGTTTCACGACACCTTGACAGCCTCATGGGAATATCCGACGCCCGTTGTTTGATATTACTTCCACAATTTGACTGGGCCATACGAGCGCTCATATTTTCTACTGTCTCATATCTCCTCATCCTCAAGGTAATGTCCGGCGCAAACTCCGTGAGTCAATGTATCCGCTGGCCTCGGGCAAGCCATGACTTTCCCAGCATGCCTACTCGATCAGCACTCAGCCAAGCCACAAATCGCTGTACGAGTGCTTTCGCATCAATTGCCATTAGATTGATCATGGCAGCATCTTCCAAATGTCTTGATCTATAGTTGTTGGTAGGCTCGCTAGTAGTACAGTCGTGTGCGGGGATCTCGGTTCGTGGGACTTCAAGCTTGATTCTCATCTGCAATATCCCGCAAACTTCATGCGTGATCCGGCCTGTCAACGAATCAGTGTCACTTTGGACTGAGTATCCGCCGCACCAACCATTCCCAGCTTCCACCGGCCGGAATGCGTTTCTTCCACCTCAGTCCTTCTCCGCAATCGCCTGTAACCGCTCGTCGATCTCATCTTCGGTCAGGATACGGAAGCCGGGATCGGTGCCCTCTTTGCCGTCCGCACGAGGTCCCCCAACAATGCCAATTTCGATCTCGCCCTTCTTGAAGTCCATGCTGAGGACAGTGCTGAGCGTCGTGATGGCGAGCTCAACAACTTCCGTCCAGTCGCCAGGGGCGTGCTCCTTGTTGCGCAGCTTCTTCTCCAGGTGGTTGAGAGCCTCCTGCTGCTTGGGACCGGCCGCAGTACCCTTGTAGCCAATGTAGTATCCGGCGGGATCGCACTTGAACAGCTGAGGTCCGAACTCAGAGTCCAATGAGATGAGCGTCGTCGCAACACCGTAGGGGCGCATGTAGGCCTAGACCACTCATCAGTTCTTATTTCCACCGCCACCTCGATGTTCTTATCCTGCTTACTCTTTGTGTGTAGACCTGGCTGATGTTGGCCAGCCTCTTTGCCAAGGCATCGGCGGGCATTTCGTAGCCGTACTTGTAGCGGAACTCTGCTGCCTCGCCTTGGGCACGCTGGGAGAAGGCGCGGGCATCGGCGATGGAGCCCGTGATCACGCATCCAACAGACGGAGAGAGCTGGAAGAGATGGGAGACGGAGGCGGGGTCGATGAGTTTATCCTTGTACCCAGGTCAGCTTCTCTCCCTCTACGGGCAACTCAGCTGATTCTCGACCTACAGGGACCTTCTTCTGAGACAGGACAACGGCGCAGTCCTTGCCTCTGACGCCTATCGACATGATGTTGGCGGCTGTGATTGCCTTGAAGGCATATTCTATTCAATATCGTTTCGTCAGTTCCAACGGCTACTTCCAGCCCAGGTCGTTTCGAGCCCCGCATGACGGCATCACCACAGGGAGGGGCAATCAATTCGCAGGGAAAGAGACTGTACATACCGACTTGGTACAATCTTCCCTGCTCGGAGAAGATCGTGATGTGTCGGTCGTAAGCTGAGCCACCTAAATGAGGGAAGACATGTTAGCTATGGTGGGCATTCACAAGTGTTGAGGCTAGCTATCGTGGGACGGACGTACCCGACATCTTGGCGGTATTGCTGTGGTTATGTTGATCAAAGTACGTCGAAGAAAATCGTGATCGGTCGTCAGTAGCTTGAAAGAGTCGTTGATGGGTGGAGGGTGGAAGTGGGTGTCGTCAATGAAGTCGGGGTTGAGCTCTAGCGGAGCTCTTGGATGTCGACGCGTTTGCATGAGCTTGCCTGGAGCAGAGGCGACGACAGCGGCGGGAAGCTCCAGGCCCGGGCTGGAAGGCTGAGTGGATGCCTTGCATTCAGGCTCATTCTTTAAGGCAGCAACTCTCTCACGACGCAAAGCTTACATAAGGCGACTTCGACTGCTGCTCACTAGAGCACGTGCTGTCTAACGCTGGAGCGGCACTCTCCGGTACGTACACCAAATGACCAGGGAGCAGCGGGGCACCCCTGCCCAGTGGGAACGACAACGCACCTCTGCTGCCAAAAATTTGGCAGGGCGGTATTCAGAGCCAGAAAAAAAAAAAGTATTGGGACCATTCCCGATACTCTCTTTCCAAGTGTCAAGCACCACCCATTGCGCCCAATAGGACTGCGGTATACGAGGCCACAGCATTCCAATCGAATAAGCCAATCGCACGTGGAAAACATCGAAGCGGCCCAATTCTGCATTTGTTGCTTGTCTCGTCAGGCCAAACGCGCAGAAACGCAAATTCCGATCCAGCAGCGGTCCGAGGAAGCAGCAGCAGCAGCGCCCCTCCCTCCAGAGAAAATCCGATAGACAAAGCCCGTCACAGAAAAGAGCAAAAAAAAAAAAAAGAGGGTGTGCCCGCTGCCCGTCATGTCCTCTGCACCAAACGTCCCGGCCTGGAAACGATTGGGCCTCAAGCTCAAGCAGCCCGCATCCGGCGCAGAGATTGGCGGCCCTGCTCCTGCCGAGGGATCGAAGCCCAACGGGCAACAACACCACGACCGGGACGCCAGCGGTCCCGTCGTCAACGCCGCCTACGCCTCGCCGGCCGCCGCCGCCGCCGCCAAAAGGAAACGTCTCGATCAGCCTACTCCTCCCCCTGCGTACAACTCCAACTCCCCCTTCAAAAGGACCCGCACCGACGGCGACAGCAATGCAACTCCGACCCTGAGGAAGCAGAAGTCCGTGACCTTTGCCGACGACGTCAAGAAGACCACCACCGCCGTCGACCCCAAGAAGAACAAGAAGAAGAGCAACAAGCCGGCCAAGCCAGCGACCCAGCAGCCGACCGCCGATATTAAGCCCTCCCTTGAGTACCTCAGGACCTGGAAGTCCGCCCGCCAGTCGTGGAAGTTCAATAAGAACCACCAAACGATCCTGATGAAACGGGTATTCCACGCCGATGCGATCCCGTCGAGCGATATTGGCACCTTTTACGAGTACATCCAAGACCTCAAGGGCTTTACCAGGTCGAGGCTGCGGGAGACGGCGGCGGAAGTCAAGAAGGAGGACGCCGAGAAAGGCAAGGCTGCCTTCCCCGTAGGCACGCCGGACATGGACTCGAAGCAGTCAGAGTACGAAACGGTACTGGCTGGCCTCATGCAGCTCGGCAATGGCTCCGGCTCCAAGAGGAAGCGCTTCGACGAGGCCGGCTTCGTGTCCAAGTCTACAGATGTTGCCATTACCCAGAGGGTCATCAAGCGCATGCGTGCTGAGACGATATTGGAGGAGCTGTCTGACAGCGAGGATAGCGATGCCATGACCATTGATACCGAGGAGACGGCCCCTCCTCCCCAGGCGGCTGCGACCCAGGAGGATGAGTCCGCTGACAAGCGGGTCAAACTCAACGATGGCACAACGAAGGAGAAGGCACCCCGCCGTCGCAAGAGACGCACCAACGTTGACGACTCGAGCTCAGAGGAATCGTCTGATTCAGACTCTTCGGACTCGGACAGCGATAGCGAGTCCGAGGATGAATCGGACAACGCGAGTGAGGTACAGCGCCAGGCTGCTCAGCGGGAGGCCGAGACTTCGAGTGAATCTTCCTCGTCGTCGGAAGAAGAGGATGACAGCAGTGAGGATGATAGTGAGGAAGAGGAGGAAGCTCCCAAGAAGCGAACGGGGTCGAAGAAATAGTGGCACTGTTTAAGTATTTGTCCCAGTACACCACCTCGATGTCAGGATATAGAGGATGTTTGCCTATTTATTTCATTAGGAGCAGACTGAGTCTCCATCAAAGGAATACCCACGAGTTTCTACCTCCACTTAAGAAGAATACAACCTAGTGAACCCAGCTTTGGGCGGCTGCAACCAGTTCCTCTCGTCATACTTGTTTCCCTCTCCTTCAATGACGTGGAACGTGTAAATGATGCGCCCCTTCTGGCTCAAATTCTTCTCGCTCTTGTGCAGCAAGTTGCCGTGAATCAACACCAAGTCCCCAGCCTTGACCTTACCAGGCACATACTTGCCCTCCCCAGCCTTCTCCTCCTCGCTCGCCTTCTCCGCGCCGTACACATCGCCAGGCGGGAACCGCGGACCCTCATTGTCCACCATCTCCGTCCCCGCGTTACCGGCCTTGCGCACAAGTCGACTCGACACCGGCGCCCAGCGGTGAGAACCCGGGAGGAAAGAAAGACACCCGTTCTCGAGCGTCGCGTCCTCGAGAGCGTACCAGAAGCCCACGGCAGACGGGGGATCCGTGTACAAAAAGGTAGAGTCCTGGTGCGGGGGCACGGCGCCACCAATCTCGGGTTGCTTGCAGATGATCATGCTCTGCAGGCACCGCGGGTCCCGGAACCCGAGGCTGCGGGCCACGGCGGCCGGTTTACCGCGGACGGGGCCGCTCCCAGCACCGCCGGTAGCAGAAGACGCGGGGTCCGAAATGGCGGCAAAGGGCGGGGAGAGGACGTGCAGGTAGTGACCAATCTTGTTGATGGCACGGGCTTTGGGTTTCACGAGGTTGCCCTCGTCGTCAAAGGCGTCCTCCTCGAAGAAGAAGCGAACCTTGTCACCAGAGGAGAGAAAGTAGTCGTCGCCGACGTGGTCTGCCTTCTCGCCCGTGGAGAAGCGCGTCATGGGGTGGTCGGCGAGGGAGAAGTTGTCCAGCAGGGAGTGGGTCTCGGCGAGGAGGCCGGAGACCGTCTCCGGGGATAGGGCCCCGGGGATGACGAGGTAGCCGTCGCGGTGGAAAGATTCGAGCTGCTCTGGGGTGAGACCCTCGTCTTGTGCGGGGACGGTCATGGTGATGAATCGTTTATGGGTTGATAAGGAAGAGAGGTCAACTCGAGTTGAAAGATTTAAGAAAAATGGAGCTCTTTTGATGTTCGTGTGCGAGAATGCTTGAGAGGAATCAGTCGTTCCTTCCGCGGTTTGACAAAATCGCATGGGCTTATTTGAGTTTCGCAGTGGCGCACCGTTTGATATTGGGCGGGAGAGATGGTTATGCGAATGCGGGGATGCGGCGGGTCCCGAATACATTAGCCCGCGCTTATCTACATCGCCTCACTGCGTCACTTTTTGACATTCGTCACAACTCGAAATCTAGTAGGAGGTAAAAGTCGTGTATTCTGTGTTGTATACCTAGATTATTTGGCGCATATACCAGATGCATACCACTCGTCTCATCATCTCAAGCCGCTTCAAATTTCAAGTATGAAAACTCCTTCATCATGTAAGCTATCGTGAGAGAAAGAAGAAGAAAAACATGCACCCCCTTGAAGACAAATGAAGACGCCGGTTTTCAGTATGCGCGACGGTTCGAAAGCTGATCTAAATTCAATATCTGGTCGTTGGACATGTCGATTACGGCATGGGGTCGTTCAGAAACTCGTAGCCCTCCTCTGGCGGGAGCACAAAGGCGGAAATGGCCAATCCAGCGGCACACAGAATCGAAATTGAAGCGCTCACGGTGCACAAGATCCAAGAGGAGTCCAGCCCCCAGCCAGGAACCTGGAACTGCTCGTCGTTGTCGTAGAGATATGCCTGTGACGAAGCACACAATATTTAGCCTTGCTCTCGTGTCCAGCGCATTTAATAGACCAAATAAACCACTTACCACAATACCCATCAGCGTGAACTCGATGGCCGCGACAAATACCAGGAGCCCACCGAGAACTGTCCAGCCGGTTTCGCGCTTGTATTTGCCGCCACCCATAATGACAAGGAACGTGACGATGGACGCCAGATGCAGGATGGTCGAGAAGGAAGCCAGGAAGCCGACAGAGCGCCACATGGAACAGAAATAACGCTCGCCATTCGCACTACACAGCTCCTCGGTCGGAAACACCTGGCAAGGCTCGTTGAACCCATTGGAGCAAGATCGATGGAGACCGATGTGTTTTGAGTATTCCTTGCCCTCGGCGGTTGTCACGGTGTAGGTGACCCAGTGGGGGAGCGTAATGGACGCAATAATCATCGCCGTCGCTAGATGTACAAGTCAGCATCGCCCACTGATTTCCATCTATTATCGAAGTATTTGTCGTTTTCCTCTCCTCCGTTCTGCCATCGCTGCGTGTCGTTGCAGGTCTCCGAGCTGAGGTGCGCTCACAAAAACAGCGATGACGATGCTGGGTGGATCCCTCTGCTTTTGGGTTCTCGGGGGGCGGGCGCAAGGCAAAGATGCAACTTACCAGCGACAAAGGCCACGAGGGCGGCGCTGTAGACGGAGACTCGTGTCATCTTTGCGAATCGACAGCTGTATAGAAACAGGTCACTGTAGAGTGTAGCAAGGTCGTTGTTGTCTTCTTTTCCCTCCTTTCTGCCTGGGAAGAAGAGAAGTTGGGTGAGGCAAGAATTGCAGATGGCCAAATTGCCTTGGAAGGAACAACTGGATCTGGGATGGGAAAGCTGGGGGGGTTGTCTATCAGCGATTGGTGGTGGCCAGACCGGTCGTCGTTATGACGCTACTTGCCTGATTCGGGAAGCCGTGGGCAAGGACGCGCGAGGTGTGGTGGGCTTGTAACAACGGTTACGTAGGAAAGGTACCAAAGTCGCCATACAAAACAGTGCCATTTAGAGGTACCTTTCCGCGACAGCAGGGAAACAGCTACAGGCAGTTGCAGCTAAGAGTTGCAGCGAACATGCATGTCACGGGGGCACCTGCCACACCATCCCGCTCTTGTCTCTGTCAGGGCTCTCTCATCCCATCCTCTTGCTGTGCTTTCACTGCCACTGCTGGCTGCTTGTTGCTGCGGCCGTCACCTCTCATCTCACAGATCACCAACTGCCCACTCCCCACTACTGCAACCGCCGTGTTTCTGACCAGCAAAGATTCCACAGCTTGGGTGCCATCGCTGACTTAGTGCCAACCTGAAATTGTTAGTGATGGACAAAGTACCATCTCATCTTGTTTTCCCTCACCTTAGCGACACCCTGGCCTTCACCGCTCGATCCTGCACGGATCGCCGTCTGATGGAAGCTCAAGCTATCGCTCTCTGGTGCAGTCCAGCTTCATCGCGGCCTATTCCCTCTCCCGCCAGCAACTCCGGGAAGAACACGCTGTCAGGAAGACAGATGCGCCCGTGAGTCATTGTCCGAAAGTCGTTGGATTCAAAAGTTCAGAACAGATATTCCGGACGACGAAATTGAGGCAATGTGGCCTTCTTATTCGACTGCCTGAACCAACCAGGCCTGCCGTGCTAACCGCCCGCGAAACCCCAGCTCTGTCAGATGTCTGCATCGTGGGGTGTTGGGCAGTTACAAACACCAAGACCTGTTATCTACACTCTCGCTCTTGAAGTCCCACATGTCCGGACAAATCTTCTAACCATGAGAGAGAGACAATGCTTTCGTTGGTTGATAACAGCTGCATCGGCTCCGGACTTACCTATATACCGTCTTTCCATTAGCTCAAGCCCAGCCTCAAGGAACAATTCGCCCAGCTCCGACCACGACGGAGCCCTGCCGCTAAGCTGCCTTGGCACAAGACGCCTAGCTTGTGCAAGCACCCAAATTTGAGTCTACGCCAGATCGCCGATCGTCGTTGAATGCCAGACACCCGAGAACTCAAACCAGATTACTCACTACGTACCTTTGTCAACACCGCTTGTCTTCATCGGAAATTCGACAAATTGGTGTAGGTCGTCGATGCCGTGGAAGTCAAGCCTTTCCTGTTTCCGGTACATATGTGGACAGCGCAAGTTGCCGGCCGTTGTCACAGCCTCCACGTGCTGGCGTGCTGTGTTGGCCTCTGACCTCACCTCGGTGAGGCCGTATGTGTTAAGGCCACACGATATCTCCGGTTTACTAGCCCGGGGTGTGCCCGTGTCGCGGGGAAGCATGGGCACTGAGGCTCAGGGCCACGATGGCAGCCGCGCCAAGCTGCATAATCGCCAGGAATCAACGATTGCGAAAGCGACTACAATGGGCGACAACTTGCAGTTCCCCTCGTTTTGCTTGATATGCGCCCGTTTGGGCTCTTGGGTTGACTCCAGATGCTATTTATCTAGTATTCTCACCATACGGCACGGTGCTCGCAACCCCCAAGATACCGACGATGGCATGGTCCGTCCAGGATCAACTTTCCCTGGCGATGCGCAGACCTGATGCTGGTATAGGGTTGACTATGAAGCCGTAGGCACCAATGATCATTGTTTACTGTTGTGCCAATCTTCAACTGCCGCATACTCAGATTTGGAGAATCGTGTTGCTTATGGGCACCTTGATTGGCCAAATAATGTCTCTCAGACAATTCGCCAGTCTTCATTGAGAACTCGCTGATCACCGGCAGCAACGTGAGACTGATGATACACGCGCCTCGCACACGCCTCGAGAAAGTTTCTGTGCTGCAAATTGAGAACTGAGAATATTGCAGTTGCAAAGAGTCACGGCGACCGTCAAAAATCCTCTGCATCGAGAGCGGATCACTACTCCATCCATCAAGCGGAGACCGGGCATTTTTCGGTCTTGTCAATTGCTTGGGGCCAGGGTGCTGGCTGTCAGTGCCCTGGGCGATCTGTTTACCCTAGAAAAAGTTCGACCGAAATCTCCGCAGAAATCCGATCTGCGATCTCAGCAACAGCAAAACGGCGTATTCTAGAATGTTTTGCGGCATTGCTAGGCAGCTGCAATAGGTAGCCAGCTGAAGCGGTCAAGCGGGAATTAACAATACAAACTCTACCTGGAGCTTTCTTATCCAGGGGCTGGTCGATTCTGACATATGTCAAAGGTACGCATCATCGCGAGGCTAGGCCGCATCGATATCCAAAATCCATGCTTGAGAAACATCGAGGGATCATAGACTCGCGGAACCCCACCAGAAGGACCAGGCTCGGATTGCTTGTGATGCCGACCTCCTATCGCGCTTGGGGCAAAGCCTCTTTATCGCCCGTATCTTTGTTCGGTCTGTCTGCTCTGACTCAATTGCCCGGAAGCGGTGGGAGCGCCATCTACGTCCACAATCCTCATCCTATGGAAGAAGGCTTGTGTCGTCCCTGGCTAGCAAGCCTATTCTTCCCGGATCTGATTACCAACCCATGCTTTCTCGGGAACCATTCACCGCGCTTCGTTCGATCACGCCAGAGGCAGGGCATGCAGAGCCATCCCTCCAAAGCGCGACATGCCGCACCAAAGATGGGTTTATCGGCCAGTCAAGGAACCGGATCGGGGCGAGCTACCCACAACGCCTGAAGCTAAGTCAAGGGTAGCCCCGAATGGAGGGGACAGCAATTAAGGTGAGTTTGGGAAGGTCACCTCGCTTCAGCGCAGGGTCCTCGGTCTCTCTACAATAACTTACGTAGTCCATTTTTGTTTTCTTCCTCTTTTACTCGACCGCGCGCTTCGGACAAAATCCCATAATCCCCCGAGCTGCGAATCTTGAACGTCATGGAGTTTTCTCACAACCTTGATCTTGACTCTTGCTGCTCCCCGCGACTCAATTTTAGGTGATTCAAGCCCAGCTTCGGTACTTTTCAAACGCAGAAGTGTCCATCACATTTGGACCTATGAACTTGAAGCAAGAGCTTATCGCACAATTCTGGACCACGGCGGATTCCTGGTCTTCATTGATCGATAACGATAACGAAGTTGACGATTTGCTTGTTGAGCGACGATACAGATCTTTGCGCCCATACACGAAGCGCAATTGGTAGTGGTACTCACGCCCCACGAAGAAGACATCATATTATCAACATGGGAGATCAACGCCATCACATGGAGCACCGGCCGGTGCAAAACAGCGCGGTCTTTGTGCTTGGCGCAAACCACTGCGACTCAATGCCCCCTCCCTCGCCTCCTTCACCCCCAGTCTCACCCCCAGAAGACGGCTTTTTGGAAGAATTGGAAGAACTCAGCCTCGGATCGCCCGACGACCTGCCCGAGAACGACGACAGCTCCGCCAAAATCCAGGACAGACTTCATGCTGCAACACACGTTCTCAAGACAGAAGCCGCAGCATTGCGCTCAGTCGCCAACTTATACGAGACAGATCCCGTCGCTCGGGATGGCTTCAACAGAACAGTCGCGGCCATCACACGGCACAAGGGTGAGAAGGGAAAGCTGATCATCACCGGGGTCGGAAAGTCCGGTCATATTGCGAACAAATTGGTTGCGACATTTAACAGCCTTTCACTCACATCCGTGTTCCTCAACCCGATTGACGCTCTTCACGGCGATTTGGGCATTATCCAGAAGCACGATATTCTTCTCTTCATCACATTCTCCGGAAAGACCTCCGAACTTTTCAGCTTATTACCACACTTGGACAAGCCGTCATCATTAGTCATCCTAACCGGACATACGAGACCTGACACGTGCGAGCTTATCAAACTCCGACCGGACACGATCCTTCTCCCAGCACCAGTTCATGAAAGTGAGACATCATCATTTGGTGTCTCGGCTCCGACAACGTCCACAACGGTCGCCTTGGCCGTCGGCGACGCGCTTGCCATTGCCGCCGCGCAGGAGCTGCACCCGAGCGTTGCACAGGTGTTCTCCAAGAACCATCCGGGTGGTGCGATTGGAGCCGCGTTCCGGAAACCTCAGACAATCTTGGACTTGGCCATTCCCTGGGTGGAGATTGATGATTCGGAACACCTTTGTGCGGACAGCAGTGTCGGCGCAGACCTCTTTCGGGCCGCATACGACTCGCCGTCAGGCTGGGTGCGAGTCGGCGACGCTGTAGCATCGCCGAGCCGCATCAGGAAGCTGGCAACGGTGGACTTCACACGGCCTCTCAGAGACATCCCGCATTTGATGGTACCCAGGGCGGAGATGCTCTCCATCTCGTCCGGGACAACCATACGTCGCGCCGTGGACTTTGTGAGAAGCATGCAAGGCGCCGCGGATGACGGCGAGTACGTTTGCAATTCGGACTCTCTCCTGGCTGTTTTGGACCATGGCGATATGGTCGGCGTTTTGGAAGCTGGCAAGCTCTTGGAGTGGAAAGATTGAGAGGTGCATTTTGAATTTACTGTAGGCATTTTGTATGCCCGTTTGGGATGGCATGTGCGGATCGGGCACGAAACTTTTCATCGTTCACACCTGCCCATGCTGGAGATACGCGGGCGGAGCGTTCATTTAATCGGAAATCACCTGGGAGAAACTTGTCTGGCCTCTTGAAGTTGGCTTCACGACACTGTCTTTAGAACTTGGGAAACTGGATCAGGGCCAAAAATTGAGTCCGCTGAGTGGCATGGCGACTATGCCCAACCTTTTGCGTTCCAAAGCTTCATCGTGACCTACGATGCCTGTGCAGTGCCCATGATGACACACAAGCACCGTCGATGCAATTTCTGTACTTGAGTTCTTGATGCCCAACTATCACCAGGCTCGCTCAAAAACAATCTTATCAGGTACTACTCTCCGTACAGCTGAGCTGAGTAGAGGCTACAGGCACCATCCCTTCTCCAAGCTCAGCGCGCGTCATCGATGCCGTCTACCCCAAGCGGCCCAACCCAAAATTTCAGGTCTTCGGGGTGTACTCCGTAGTACGGCGTACACAGTAGAAAGGATTGGGGAACGTCCACTGCAGAATAGAAAAGTGCCTGCCCTACGATTTCGTCCGCAACAAGCTGTTTGATGCGGGGTGGAAACTCTGTTTCCAAGTTGGACCCAACCTCTCCCCTTCGGTGATGCCCAGCCAGGTCAATGAATCCACTTTTTGGGCTTTGGAGTTTTTGAAAAACTTGCCCGAGACTCCATCTTTACAGTGCGTGAGACTATTGAGGTTCTGGGCGGCAATGGCGATGGAGTAAAAAAAGGCTATCGTTACAGGCTAATGAGAATCTTGAGAGAACTTCACGGATCTAAGATCGGAATGGAAATGACGCGAAAGGGATCTAGATTTGGTGCTCGGGGGCTTCCAATCTGCTGTTCACGGAGTCTTTTTTGGGTGTGAGCATCACTTCACGTCCACTTTGCTCTTCCCGCTCCGCTTCGGATCCGGCCAAGGAATGCGGGAGGCGGCGCTGGGTTTCGGCTTCGGGTGCTCAGAGTCGTGATCGGGCAGGGCCGGGGTGCTCAGAGCCAAGGGGATTCGGCTGCATACTACAGTAGTTCAGTACCATGCTCCTCTAATAATGAAGTTGCTGTCTCAACAGAAAACTCGAGTCATCTTTTCAAGTAGATCAAAAAAGGGGTCATAGAGAGAAGAAGAAGAAGAAGAAGACTAGATCAAGGCAAGGGAGGCTTCCAATAAAACAATAATTGGCTCTCATGGTGGAACTAGTGGTGATGATGGCTTCAAAAACCGTTGACGCACCACATGACTTCCACAGCAACGATGCAGGCAGCTGGGGGAAAAAAGTTACTAGCTCAGGTCGGTTGCTATGGAAAGTGAGACGACTTGGTAGCTGCACCAGAAGCTTTTCCCCAAAAGGGCGAGAGGGGAGCAGAAGAAAAGAAGAAGAAGAAGAAGAAGACCAGACGAACTACATTAGCGGCTTTCTATTGTTCCCAAGAGAAGCAAAGAAAAAAGGGCACTAAAACACGGGCACTGTGCAACGTCAAGCAGCGCCCTTTGTTTCCTCCATTTGAAAGCTAGTAGAACCCTAAGTGACGGGCTTTGCCCACTGACCGTTGGCCCGAGGACAGCGGACGAAACCAAACGTCTGGGAGCTAGAAACGAAACATGGCTGAATTGTTTGTGTGGCGGCTCTGGGAGATAGTCTGAGGTTTTCGGGGCTGAGACAGACTTACGTGTTATGCATGTCTGCTTACCTGGTATTCTAACCGAAATATGCCTCGCTGTCTGAGGATAGATTTTGAGGGTTTCCAAGACTCATCGTCATTGTACATGCCATTGCGTGGACGGACGAGCGTCTAGAACGTCTTGGCCGACATTTGCGGAGAATCGTAATGATGTACGCAATCCCGCGATCCTACACGGAAGATTATGTAAGTATATACGATGCAGCCTCTCTCAGTCTCCAGGCCATCTTAGATGCGGAGTGATATGCCGACGGGGAGTTCTTGAAGAACATGATGCATCCGGGCGCCTAGGGTGAAGTGATCATGCTACCGGACTCCACTATGAAGGGTGATCTTTTCAATTTGACGAGATCGCGAATTCTTCTTTATGTGTGTAAAGCTTAAAAGATGAGTGACGGGCCGATCGATCCGCTGTGGTTCTTTTGAATTCTCGTGCTTCTATTTTGGTTCCGCGGGGGAAGGACGGGTAGTCGTCAGCATTCAGCTCTTGGCGGCAAGACCTTGGGAGCCGTAGAGCCAGAGATGATGTCGTGAACGCGGAAGCTGGTCATCTTTGATTGGTGGTTTCGGGCTTTTCTGGGGAATGCTTCACGTTGACGGGCTTGCTTGTTTCGCCTTTAATCCCATTGTGAATCTCTCATTGGGGCGGCGTTTTGGCGAGTTGGGGCCCATTGAGCGCGTCAGCCAGTGAGGCTCAGTCCGGGATGATGTGCATGTACCCTGCTTGCAGCTGCGGGCCATGGCTAAAGCTGGAGAGAGCCTGTATGGGAGGTCCGCAGCAGAACTTCTCGCGTACGGATAGCGTGCTCTTGGAGCCGAAGATACGGATTAAGTTTGATTCAACTCCGCGGATGTGAAAGAAGATGTTGGATTCAACAGTAGTTTTGGAAATGTCGCGGACGCACTGGTAAGGCGATTAGCGGTGGCAATGATAGCTCAGAGACGTCAGACTCTGAGGCCTAGCTGCCTCAGTCAAGACACCAACCACCTGTTCACTTGGAGAGCCATCTAATAACCTGCAAGCGGTGCAGTGACAGCGCAGAGTTATGCAGCGGTCTCGATCTCATGTTTCAACTTTTTGACCACGTCGTCTGCATCGGTCTGTGGTGTCTTTGCTGTGCGCATTTTCCCCGTACTGTGCCCACGGCCGATGGAGCGAGTCACGGCCTTGGGCCCAATCCTCGATGTTCCGTGAGAAATAGAGTAATCCGAGTGGCACAGTTGGAGAATGCCATATATTGGCCTCTCCTCTTTGTCACTTTAAACCCCTCCCCTGCCGCCAGCGGAGCAGACACGGGAAGCAATTGATGGGGGCTCGGGTAGCATCTTCGACATGGCTTGTCGTCAAGCGAGGCGAGATGGCCGGCGGTAAAGACGATGAAATGACGGCAAGATGAGAAAAAGGTTTGGGAGGGGCGCCTTTTCGGAATCTCGAATCCTTGCTATTCAGCTCGCGTACCCCTGTGCCACGGCACATGAACCCTGTAGCGGTCGAGGACAACTTCTTGATGTCCTGGGGTTCCTGGTATTGAAAGCCCTGCCAATCTTGGAGATGAGGGCGAGAGAAAAAAAGACAAGGCCTGGGCGTTTGTAGACACAACCAGCCTCCTGGATTTCTCGTGGAGTGATACGGCCCAAGATGGAGTGCCGAACCAAGAGTGGCATGATTTGTTGGTTCTGCCTTCATCCGCATTCGTCTGGGGGAGGAGGTATCCGTACGTAGACTGCCAGGCATCAGCCAAATGTCACTCGGCGCTGCCACCCCACTTTACTTGACATGTTAAACCCCCCAAAAAACAATGATGGTTTCCTTGATCCGTCGTCTCACATCGGGTCCCGGCAAGGTCGCTTCTGACGTTTGTTTGGTTCATGGTGCCTGGATTTCGAGCTCTAGATTCCTCGAGTACTTTCGTACCTGAAATGGTCGGAAAATACTTGTCATGGTAAAAAACAGTTGCAAGCGGTTGCAGCATTTGGTGTCTCCCCCAGCCCGACCAGCCACAACATATTCCCCAATCCAGGTTTGCGGTGGAGCACAGGTGGGGAGAGTGTCGCCCCTCATTCGCCCAGCCACCACACGCGCGGCCCTGGGACGGCCCCTGCACGCACAGTGCGGTCCACCTCTGGATTTTGGCCGATGGGAGTGCCTTGGCGCAGTCAAGTTACCCAGCCTGATACGCCTGGCAAACGCTTGCTATTCGCAATGGAAGGTACGGATACGGAATCTGTAATGTTAATATCTTGACGGATGGATACCTTACATCAGTTCAAGCCCAGCCGAACTAGCCAAACGTAGGGCGCACATAGTAAAACTTTGGAGGGCTGATGTTGGACGGTTAACATCCCAGCAGTCAGAAAACGGGAAAGGTTAGCAGCTCATACCTGGGAAACTCGACAGGTTCAGGGCTGTAAAAGGTGTCTACCCAAAGTCCTGAGCTAAGCCCAGGAACTGTAGGTTTCAGCCAGGTATCTTCACCAAGACATTGTTAGGCGAGGTACCTTGGCTCGACAACTCCGCCCCACCTGCCCTCCAATTGGTATGGTCTTTTTGCAAGTTCCATGTCGCCCGCCGCCAAAAACAATCCTGGAGCGACATCATTCATCACCCGCCAACGTCGCACCGCACCTGCTCAGCTCTGGCCGTGTCGCTCCCACCACCACCACACTCTCGGTGTCTTTTCATCTCACACACTCTCTCACGCTTCCACCTCTTCTTTCCTCCTCCACCTCATCCGCTGCCGCTGTCATTCATTCCTCGGCTGAAGCGTTGATTCACGTTTGACTACGTCCTCGCTTTCCTTTCCTTCTCGTTGTTCGTCATCAAGATCTTCATCTTTTTGTTTATCGTGTTGCTACCGGTGCGCTCCACCGTCACATCTGCTTTCCTCGACATCGATTGTTTTGATACCCGTCTCCAAAGGCCCCTCAACCCACATGTAAATAGCTTCTATCTGAAGAGCTATTCTTTCTCGCTTCTGTGGCTCATCGGCAGCCCTGGTTTTTCGCCTTTCGCTCGACTTCACATCATCACAGCGGATTTGAACTTGTAAACAAACCACTTATTACGACAGCGCAGCAAACAGCAACCGCCAAAACACCGCAGCTATGGCGGCACCCAAATCCAAAGTCCACCCCCTCAATGGGATGCACACGGCCGGAATCTTTGCCGATCCCACCGTTGACGGTCCCTTGATCGGAACCTTAGTCGCTATTGTCGACCGCGCAAAGAACTTGCCCAACCGCAAGACCATTGGAAAGCAAGATCCCTACTGCGCCGCCCGCCTCGGCAAAGAAGCAAAGCGGACCACGACAGATATTCGAGGAGGCCAAACTCCCAGATGGTAACCAATTTTGCATCTTCTCTACTACGTCGCTCTCTTTACAATTGGCAACTTGCTAACACTGACTTCTCAGGGACCAAGAGCTTCGCTTCGCCGTGCACGACTCACCAGATTACTACCAGCTCAAGGTTTCCGTATTTCACGACGACAAAAAGACGGATCTCATCGGAGAGACATGGATCGACCTCAGGGACATCATCGTACCCGGTGGAGGCCAGAACGACATCTGGCGCAATCTTGCGTTCAAGGGCAAGTACGCTGGCGAGGTGCGCATGGAGATCACATACTATGACCAGCGACCGAAACCCGAGAAGCCAGTTGCGAAGCCTAAGCCAGTCGAGGCAGAGCCGACCGAGAACTATGGCGGTACCATTCCCCGAAAGCAGATCAAGCGACGACCGCTGCCATCTGATCCCTTCACGGGTGAAGCCCCCGCCGGTCCAGCCCCGGATCTGGCGCCAACCCCGCCTCGAGCCGGAGGTCCCAGAGGGCCCAAAGAAATGAACATTCCTACGCCAACAGGCTCAGAGATCAGTCTTTCGGGGTCCCGACCAATGCCCAAGGGCCCCAAACAGCAACAGCCCGCTCAGATACCTACGCAATCGCCGTTGCAAGCTATCGAGTACAACACCAGCCCCGCTCCAGATGCTTGGTCTAGCCAACAAGACTTGCATGCGCACTCGCCCCAAGCTGCCTTGCCACCTTTGGAAACTACACCACAGCACACGCCGAGACATGACCGCTACGATAGCCCCAGCTCCCACCACGACGAGAGGGACTACAGCCCGAGATACTCATCCCAGGAAATTGTCAACCAAGCTCACTACCGTCAGGGCTCCGAGCCACCGCGTGATATGCTCTATTTGGAAGACCAGCGTCATGCTTCACCTGCCGAGGACGATCGACCACCGCCTCCACCTGCTCACAGAAGCCGGCATAACAGCGGGAACTCACAAGATATGGTCGTGAGGGGTGCCTATGACACTCCTCCCAAACCAGCCAATGCTATGAGACAAGACGTCCTCAGAAACGAGGCTCATCGTGCGTCCGTTTCTACGGCAGCCTACCCTGGACGCCCCACATACCGTGGCTTCGATTCAGCACCTGCGGTCACAAACGCGCTGCCAGCTCCTGAAGAGCATCGTCAAGACTCAGCGCCGCCGAGACATCACTCGTACGATGCCCACGCAGAGTACAGGTCTATGCAGCCGACAGTCGAAGACGTACCCGAATCGCCCAACACAGCCGCGAGCAATGCTCAGCGGAGGATTTCTCGCGCACCCCAGTACGATGAGGCAAGTTACCGCCAAGAGCAAAACCAGCCGCCACCGCAGCAGCAGCACCATCAGTCGACCGAGATGACACGGCGCCGAAACTCCCATACACCGCAGTATGACGAAATGGGATATGACCAGGGATACGATCAGGTTCCCAGTCCGGCACCATTGAACATCAGCGGAAGGGGAAGTGCCAGCTCGACTCGTCAGCGTGGCCACTCGCCACAGCCTAGCTATGGCCGAGGGGACGAGATGGGCCAAGGCGGACGGTACAGCACCTCTCCACGACCTGAGTTCCAGCCGAGAGGTGACGAGCTGGTGTTCGCAGGAAGAGGCGCCGTTTCTCCTGGTCACTATAGCACATCGCCACAGCCAGACTACCAGCAAGATTACCAGCCCAGAGGCGACGAGCTGGTCCTCGCTGGCAGGGGCAATGTTTCTCCCGGCCACTACAGTACTTCACCGCAGCCGTACCGGGGCGATGAGATGGTTCGTCATCAACAAGCCTCTCCTGTCGCCTCTCGTGACTTTGCCCCAAGTCCCATGGACGGATCATCTTACCACTCGCATTCAAGGAGCCAGAATCAGTACACCTCGCAGAGGTCTGAACTGGGAGGAACGCAGATCACGGCTCACGGCATGCCCGCTGTGCCAGCTTCTTTGGTACCAGGTGTCGATCACAGTGTCTCTCAGGAGATTTCGGAACGCATCTACGAGGAGAGACGTCAACAACGGCGCTATACTGATCAGAGCATGACCACCCCGACCCGTGGAAGACAACACAGTGAGCCACTCGGTTACGACGGAAGCTACTCGAACCAGTCCTATGTTCCACCAGGATACAACCACCGCTCTTCTGTGGCGTACGGTGCTCCCCAGCCTGACATGAACCGTGGACGGGGTGTTTCGCCCAATCCGATGAGAGGACGGGGTGCGTCTCCTAACCCGATGATGGCAAGAGGCGCATCGCCAAATCCGCACGGCACCAGGAGGGGCGTATCGCCCAATCCCATGAATATGACAATGGATAGAAGAGGAGCCTCGCCTCAGCCGCCCCCACAGCACATGAGGTCGCGGGGAGCCTCACCTAACCCGCATCACACGATTAAGCGGAAATCTGTTAGCCCCGCGCCGCCTCCGTCTGACCATCGGAGACTGTCCGGTATTCCGTTCGGGCCAGATTCGTACGATGCTCTCAATCCATCGCTGTCAGCTACCAGTAGTAACGTCTCACGGCCGGATCCCGATGAGAAGATCATCACTCATGACGGACGTGAGATTGACCCTTCAGATCACTTGCCTATGGACACATGGGCCCCGGAACCCGAGCCCAAGGGACCCAAAACCCCAGCTACGGCTTCTGTCCGCTCACGAGTGTCACCGGCTGCTACTCAGGCAATGCCCCCGACTGGTCGTCGGCAACTGCGTATTGCAGGTCGGCCTCAGTCTCAAGCATCGCCGGTCACATACGGTTCAGATCCTTACCATGTCCCGGGCACACCACCGAGCGGAGGTCGGAACCGCTTGCAGAAGAAGACGCAACGCATGTCTGCTATGCCTACGACATCACCGGCGGGTTCTAGCCCTCTAGCCCCTATCTCGTCGCACAACTATCAAGATCACGGCAGCGACTTTACACCACCGCGTCTCCCCAGGGCAAGCACATGGGACTACCCCAGCGAGAACCATGCACCGCAATACGGTAGCTCTCCTGGAGGTGGATATGGCGGCGCGCCCCCAATCCCGGCTAAAGTTCCCTTGCCTATCATGAGCGGCGCGAATGGTGATAACGAGTGGGCTTTGATGCAGGAAATGAGCCGCATCGACATAGGCGCCGGGCGCTCCAGGCGTCATCGTCACTACTAGGTGAAGTTGATACGGCGTATGAATGACCGGGTGATGTTTATACGGAGTCCATGTAATTGTACAATATAATGGTAACGGGTTACGCTTTGAGTGTTAAATGGTTTCGTTTGAATGAACTGGAAACACGGATTGGGCTCCGAGTTGGGTATGACGGGTTGGTAATGCTGTAGACAGCCGGAATCCTATTTCTTCATGTTCATTATTTGCTGCCTCTGTAATTGTGTTTGTGATCATTTGAGGTAGAAATTCGGATGACAGCATCACCTTGGATAACTCAGGCCCAAGTTTGGAGAGTTTATGAGATGGGGTAAATTGAGATGAATCATCAATCAGAAAGGAATATCGAGATTGATGCTGTAGTTGAATTCAGGTCTCAAATGATGATTTGGGCGACAACGACATTTGGGGAAGGCCGATCCGTGTCTGTCTCGGGAAATGGTGCCTTCGTCGTTTAGTCTTGCCATCCATTTCGGCTTCACCTTCTCACCTTTTGAGAAATCTCACGCCACGACTTGCGTTCATGTTCGAGTGGATTAACCCCGTCCGACGCCCTTTGATTGACGAGGTCAACGGGATCCCACCGCCAACGAAATCTTGCAGCCATAAAAAAGCTCCTACACTTGACCCCTCATTTTCTCCTGAGCATGATTTCTCACTGACTTACACCACCACCACCACCACCACCACCACCACCACTCTTGACGACTGAAGCAGGCCCCAACTCAACAACGCGCTCGCGACTGACAGGTTTCATGTCGGAATGGGTTCAAAGACACCCGAAGACCAGATTCCCGGAGGCAATGGTAATGATTCCAAAGTTATCGTCTTTATTTTATTTTTTGGCTTTCACAACCAAGGAGTAGCATGCTAATTGATGTCGTTCAGGCGGGCCCACTTCGTCCGGCATTTCCTCCGGCGGAGAGCCGCGCGGCGTGCACCTCTCCCGTGACGGGGACGGCAGTCTCGGCGACGGAGGTGATGGCGACGGCGATGATGATGAGGGAGATGAAGCTGTCGCTGGCGCCGGATCGCTGAAGAAAGCTGCTGCTGCAGACGATGACAATGATGACAACGAGGACAATGGACCTAAGAAGAAGAAACGAAAGCCGAGAAAGAAGAAGAAGAAGGCTTCCGCCGCGGCGACTGCTACGAAGCAATCTGACCCTCCGAGGGTGCCGCTGAGCGACCTCTTCCCTTCTGGCTCATACCCGGCCGGTGAAGCGCAGGCTTACACCAAGGCCCGGGATGCGGCTACGGCTACGGGTGCAGGCTCGGACATGAACACCGCGCGCACCACGGCTGCGGAGTTGCGGTACCAGTCCCGCCCGCACCTCGAGGACCCGAGCCTCCTGAATGACTACCGTAAGGCCGCCGAGGTTCATCGGCAGGTTCGGCAGTGGGTTCAGGATACGGTGAAGCCTGGTAAGCAGACTCTGCTCGAGATCGCTACGGGGATCGAGGACGGTGTGAGGAGCTTGCTGGGGAACCAGGGGCTGGAGGTGGGTGATGCGTTGAAGGCTGGGATGGGGTTTCCTACGGGACTTTGTCTTAACCATGAGGTTGCGCATTACACGCCGAACCCGGGGCAGAAGGACGTGGTGTTGAAGTATGAGGACGTGATGAAGGTTGATTTTGGGGTGCATGTGAATGGATGGATCGTGGATAGTGCGTTTACGATGAGTTTTGATCCGGCGTGGGATAGTTTGTTGGCTGGGGTGAGGGATGCTACGGAGAGCGGGATCAAGGTAAGTCATTCCTTTGTTGAGCCCCCACATTATCATTTTGTTTGGAATGGAAGGATGCACATGCTAATGTGTTTGTGATCCAGACTGCCGGTATCGACGTCCGCATCTGCGACGTCAGCGCCGCTATCCAGGAGACGATGGAGAGCTACGAGGTCGAGGTCGGCGGCAAGATGTTCCCCGTCAAGCCGGTGCGGAACATCTGCGCGCACGATATTGCGCGGTACCAGATCCATGCGGGCAAGTCCATTCCATTTATCAAGAACAATGATGAGACCAAGATGGAGGAGGGGGAGATTTTTGCGATTGAGACGTTTGGGACGACTGGGCGGGGAAAGTTGTACGATGATGTAAGTTTCTTTTCCCCCCTCCCACCCCCTTTTTCAAGTGCTTCTACCTTATTGGGACTCACTCTGCAGTCGCCTTCGATTGGAACTTGGAGGAGCCGTGGAGACATGACTAGGTACTGACGAGGAACAGGCCGGTATCTATGGATACAAGCTGGACTTCAATGCCCCTGCCCAGGTCAAGTTGCCGTTTGCCTCTGCGAATCGTTTGTATAAGACGATCAAGGAGCAATTTGGAAGTATTGTCTTCTGCCGCCGATATCTTGACCGTCTCGGTATGGATCGCTACCTGGCTGGTGTAAGTCTCTATCATGTTCTGTTGGATGCTTACCTTGCGAAACTAAATCTGACGATATTGTTTCCGTGATAGCTCAAATGTTTGGAATCTCATGGGATTCTTGAGTCTTATGCACCGCTTGCGGATATCAAGGGATCTCAGTCTGCGCAATTTGAGCATGTGAGTTGCGAATCCTCGACATGAGACTATGACGAGAAGTGGTTGAGAAGGCTGACAGAAGTAGACTATCTTACTGCGTGAGAATAACAAAGAGATCATCAGTCGAGGGAATGACTATTGATGAGATGATGAAGGACCTTACGAAGATACAATATGGTATTACAGATTGCTTGTGTGAGAATACGAGGTGACGTCTCAACACGTCGTTGCGGAATAAGATGGCCTCAACGCCACAAAACTGAGGAATATTTCTTCATTTGTGCTTTTGGGTTGCTTCAACACTTTCTAATATATTCCAGCACAGGTTCTCAACATCCCTTTGCTTTCCAAAATTTCGTTATGTTATCTTTCGAGTACAATAGAACAGACAGATCATCGAATACTACTTGGTTCATGTTTCTTTTTCTCTGAAAAGAAAAAAGAAAAACAGGCTGATGTTCAGAACCTTTGTCAAGAGCTGTTGGTTTGGCCGCGGTAAGTGTTGTGCTATGTCAAGAGGGAAGAGAAGCAACGTGTCTCACTGCCCTTGCTGGGAAAGTGAGTTGTGCTGTACGGCTCATGATATACTGTTAAACCGGCAAGATTGAGGAGTGAGGATTACCAAGCCTCTCTGTAAGTTGATGTATGCTTATCTTTTTCTCCCATAGTGCTCGGAAGAATTAGCAAAGCACAACATCAAGCATTTTTTATAGTTTGCTGCATATAGTTTTGAAAGATAGTTCCGTAGCGCTGAGCTCTAGACATTATAAACAGTGCAAAGGTCGAATCATCTTTCAAGGGAAAACATCTATGTGGAAATCCGTCTATATCTTACGAGATACGCGTAACCTGGTTTTCCCGTCTTCCCCCGTCTCCAGGGCTACTTGATATGGAATAGGATTTGACCCTCTATATGCCCTTCTCAAAGCTTGCCAGGGTGGACCCCAATCCTGAAGATAACGTAGTATGTCCCTGGAGTAATATTTCATGTATCTGGTAGCAGGAATTTCTTGTTCGCCACCATCCGCATCATATCTAAGCAAGATGTCAATAATCCTCGCTCTCATATATGTCGCTTTACCCTCGAGATGCCCGTCTCCTGATGAAAGCATCTTGTGGATTATGCTGACCCCATTATCATCCATCGTGTTTGGATCTGCTCCAATCTCAAGCAGTGTTCTCACTTTACGAGGCTCCATTTGGCAAGCCGCCCTATTCAGAGCTTCTCGGAGAACCTCGTGCGAAATGTCAAATTGACTGTGACCAAAATGGTCTAGAAGCTCCTTGGCTACGCCGATTTCACCTTTTTGGAGTGCTGACAAGACCTTTTCCTGAACGAAGCTTATTTCAAAGTCGTCCAGAGGCATCAATCGAATGATCTCGACATTCCAGACTTTGGAGAAAAGGTGATGACCGGAGCTGTCCACTTCAAAACTTGCTCCTTTGGAAAGGAGCAGTTTGCAAATACGTTCATCGCCAGAGTCAGCTGCCCTGCTCAGAGCACTGTTACCACCAGCATCTCTGGCATCAGCTTTTGCGCCGTTTTCTAGAAGCATCTCTGCGATATCGAAGCGGCGCCGTTTAGAAGCTTCAAGAAGAGCGTTGTTGCAATAGGGAATTTTATCTCCATCGGGGATCCACTTGACCAGCGTGCTAGTGATATCGTAGAGGCCCTCCTGCGACGCTTTTTGCAGGGCCTGTTCAGACACCTTAACGCCGTTGTCGAGAAGTGTTTTGACGAGAAGTCCGCGACCAGAACGTACGGCATGAGCTAGAATGCCATCCCGTTCTTCGGGCCAATCTACAACTGTTGCCGCTTTCAGAAGGATCTCCGCAACACGCACATGGCCACATGAAACAGCGGCCCAGAGGGCTGTGATGTATAGTCCTCCTTGATGAGCGTCTGCATTGACATAAGCTCCCTTTCCGATGAGAAATCGCACCATAGATTCGCGGCCACTAGTTGAAGCGGCCTGAAGAGCATTGCCGTGAGTCCCACCTTGTCCATTCACTTCTGCTATATTCTCCTCGATCAGCCATTTAACGATAGGTTCGTGACCATAGAATGAAGCGGTTTGGAGAGCGTTGTTGTAATATCCAGCCTGTTCATTCACATCTCTTGCTCCCTTTCTGATAAGAAATTGCACGATAAATTCGTGACCGCAAAATAAAGCGGCCTGGAGGGCGTTTCCGTGACTCCCACCCTGTTGATTCACATCTGCTCGTCCCCTTTCAACAAGGAGTCGCACGATATATTCGTGGCCACGATATGAAGCGGCTTGAAGAGCGTTGCCATAGCGCCCGCCATTCTTATTAGTATCTGCTCTCTCGTTGATCAGGGTTTCAACTGCAGATAATAGACCTTCTGACGCACAGAAGTAAAGCAAATGAGGAGCCGAGTCAGGATTGCTAGCTTGTGACTGATGTCCGCTTTCTTGCCTGTATCTCTCTTCATTGTCGAAGTCAAGGTATGAAAACCGACGGATCCATTCGTAGATGTGTTTAGAACTCAATGTAGGACCGTATTCTCGTACCATGGTCCGGAATGCAGAGATGTCTCTCTCTTCGTATTCTCCATCAAATTTGAAAAGCTGACGGCAAGTTCTGTAGCAGTCCTTGTGATGCAGGAACTCTTTGACAAGCTCAGAAATGCTGTTGCAATCAGCTTGAGCAGCATATCGTGTCCAATATTGTGCAGCATACGGCGCTAATGGGTATGAGGATGATAAATTCATCAGTGGAAGGTCATGATTCATGTCCAACAAGTATATGAGGCAAGTTTTCGCCATTGATGTTTTGGCCATGCGTTCATCAAAAGCTTGAGAGACCTCCGGCTGCAGCCGGCTACAAAGGAGATACTCCTTTACCGAGAAATGCGCTAGCTGAACGATCCCCATCCCCTCTCCATTGAGCCGAGTGGTTGGAGTGATAGAAACTAGACTGGGACAGTATGATAAAATATCGGGTTTGTCTGGCCATGATTGAGATTTGAGTTTTGGTCGGGGTTGTTCCTCTTTGATGATCGGCACAGCAATCATGTCGACTGCCTCTTCTAGAGTCAGGGGATCTGGCGAATAGAGCAAAAATTGCAATATTCTCCAAGCTCTCTGCTTACGAATACCTGTAGGAATCTTGCTCAGGATTCTCTCGTAAGTTTCGTCCAATGTTTCCGGTAATGAATCCAAAGTTGCTTGGAGTTCCTCATCGTTGTCACAATATTGGAGAGAAACGAGTTGGCAGAATACCCAGCGGAACCTGTATTTCTGGTTAAGACGGAGTAATTGCAGCAAACTTCTCAGAATACTCTCTACGTGTACTCACATTCCGTTAGCCTTTCCGACCAAACTTTTCTCGATTTTCTCTTGCGAAGCTTTATTTTCTTCCCATTTCGATAGGCCATCCCAAGTCGTAATCGCTTCTTGAATGAATGACTGTATGTCGGCATTGACATGTTCATTTCGTATGGAAATCTGCATATCCTTGGGGATATTCGTTTTTAATGTCTCGCAAATACTCTTGTCCTCGCGGCTTGTAAATATGACATGAAACTTGTTTTCCGAGGGTTCGATAAGAGTTTTGACCCATTGGAGTAGCCCTTTGTTCTTTATGCCTTGGCCTTGTTGACATTCGCCAATGTTGTCCCATTCGTCAAGTGCATCTAGTACAACCCAGACGCCACCAGCCTTTGCAACCATGGTATCGAACCAATCGCAAAGGCTCTTAGTTCCAGGTTGCGTCAAATTACCTGCTATGGGGTCGAAGACTGTGTTGAGATAGTTTTTAGCGGTCTCGCTCTGACGATAAAGTTGGTCGATGAGCGATCGGATTGCCATGTCCAATGACTGTTTCTTAGCATCGGTAAATGTGAAATAAAAATAGAGGCAGACAAGACCGCGATCTTGTAAATCGTTAATGATTGTTGAGCTCAGGATCGTCTTGCCACATCCTGGACCGCCATACAGCCACAAAGCTGAATGGCATTCCATCTTCCATTGCAAGTACTTCGGGCTTCTCAAGAACCACTCGCCTGTGCCAGGATGATGAAGATTGGATGCCTTATTGTGATCTATTGATGGGTCTGGTGCAGAAAGCCACGATCGAAGTTTATAATACCGATCACCGGCGCTCAGCTCTTGAACTTCCCGATGTGTGTCTCTTGTGGTTGCCTCGATTTCGGACACTGAATTACATGTGAGAAACAGCACTTCTGTTGATGGATAATATCTACTGACCTATTCTCATGATATCTCCAACTTGCTCACTCCGTTCAACGTTCACAGCGTCAATGACATGCAGGAGCTCCTTCGCGTATGCAGCGGCAGCAATCGCTGCATAATTCTGCCACCGATCATTCTTGTGGCTATCGGCGTAATCACAAATTCCTCTGATGACTAGACAGGGGAAATTGTTCATCAATCCAGCTGCCTCCATCTCGAAGCAAAGACACTTGGTCCCAATTTGTTGTAGAATCCGGTCCCTGGAAATTCCGTCTTTTACAACCGAGTTCCCGGAAGCAATGACGCCGTAGTGAATCCTCGGATGGTCGTTAGTCCGGGCAGGTCGTTTGAATTCTTGTTCCGAATCGCAGTGTGTACAATCTTCAGTTTCGATAATCTCCTGTGAAGTTTGTCCAGGTACGTTAGACGGCACTTTCAGGCTATCCACATGTGTCGAGGTTGATACGAAGAGTCGGTCGTTCTGCGCTCCTTGATGGGTGAACGCGGCGTCTTCCTCATCTTCATCTCTCATCGCCAGCATGGGAGACTTCTCGAGCGCATCAGCCAATATTCTTGGCAGCTGGGACCCTTTGCGTCGTTGTTCAGCTCTCAGCTTGGCCAATGCAGTAAGAAGCACTGGTGGGGGCGGGGTGAGATAGCCGACGGGTTCAACTTTGCCGCCTGCCTTTAGCTTGACCAAGTCGTACTGTTCAATCCCAGAAGATTTACCCTCTGGCAGACCAACGACAATGTCGCCAAGTCGAATGTCAGACCTATCCTTCTTGAACTTGGTATCCAGTCTAGGAATGCCAGCGCCAATGCCGACCATGAGGCCAAATCGTATGTGTGGGAGAGAGTGAACCATGCTCGTTGCGGTCCCTGCTGCGGCCGCCATCCCATAGCTACCTTCGCCTATGG